CTATACATGTAGACCTATACGTTGGGACGAAATATGAACACCTAGGGACACAAATAGGGAGCTAGGAGGTTAGATCCTCTCCAAAACTCAACTAGACCCCGAAAATTAAGTCATTATTAAGTAAATACTAATAGAATACATATTACAAGATCAATATTATGGAGTGTTGGGCATCGTAAATTATTTGAGCTATTTTCGCCTATGTTAACACCTCAACAGTTACGACCAAACAAATTGTGTTCATGAAGATATGTCTCGTGTAAATATAATAGAGTTATTGTACTAGTCTAGCAGTATTAATATCACGCCCTCTTCTATTACTACAACACTTAAATATAATAACATATAATTTTATTGAATACTATATAACAATGAAAAATGCCTTTGAGATAAAACGTAGCAATATATTGAAATAGTTATAATAGTTATATATCCCCTTAAAATCTAACAAATTCAAAAATATATCGGTGGTTCTTTATATTGGTAGAAATCATATACATAATAATTAAAAGACCATATCCGTCTGTCTGCAACGCTTTTTCACTTATCTTTAGAAAGTTAGGTCGTAAATTGTAAATGTAACTTTTTTGCATAACAATTTTTTAGAAAAAAATTAATACAACCCTCGAATATATTCTCCTCTTCAAATGTTGTTATTTGTGATAAAATTCTTATTAAAGGGTCCTATGCAACAACCTTATAACCCCATTTTCAACCACCTACAATGAACTTATCTGTTTGTTGTACTTTTAAAAAATAGACAACTCCATTTTTACTGACGACTTGGGTACTAAATACTTGCCGAAGTATTAAGTATGTTTGTTGCACTCACTTGTGTATAATATTTTTCTCTGTTGTTTAGATACAGTCGTGTATAATGAATATACAACTAGTGTTTAAATTTAAATAATAATGGACTATTAATATATTTGTAATATATTTGTACTATAGGCATTTTCTTCGAACAAAATTCGATTGAAATTGAACAGAAACATCAGCTATTGAATATCAAATCTATTATTTTCTATAATCTGTCCCTTTAAATTGTATAATGTGTTATATTACCTATATAGGTATATATTATACTATATACCTACTATCTATCACTTATATCGGTTATCACTGAACAATATGACGTCAATCGCGTGTAGATTAAATTTGGACACTAATACCGACGCGATTACTGTAAATACTCATCGAATATGTTTACATAAAAATAATAATATAATACATAATTTGTATTTATAAAGACAGAATGATAATAATAACACCGCGAGTCACATCATGATATCGACGGCGTAGGCAAATAAATCCGTTTAAATATATACTTACAGGACACCGTGTAGCAATATTATTGTCACTTAGATGACAAAGCATTTAAAAACGAGCGTGTACAGTTTAAATTATCATATTGAGCTAAATGAAATCAATTAAAAGAAAAAAAATGTCAAGACACGATATTGGATCATGTCATCTAGTACCTACGTCACTGAAATAAAAATTCTAACACAATATTATTATAAATAACTCGTAAGTAAATATTACAAGAATATTATACCGGTGGATTTGTACACCAATCCGCTATAAAAAGACTGCATGCACTCGAAAGGTATAAAAACGAATATGCGTATAGGAATTAAGAATTATTAGGAGTATTAGCTTATGTATTGCTCTGTGCTCGTCACCAACGTTATTGGTAATAAAATAACACATTAGTAAATTGTGGTACAAAGAAAACCGCCGGAAAAATATCCAAAACCTATATGATTTGTGTAGAACATATCAATTATATTAATAATTTGAAAGCGAAATATTATGAGATATGTCGAAACCAACATTACCAAGAATAATAACTTAGTAATGATGATTAGTGATTTATAAAACTAAAATTAAAAACGAAACAAATTATCGAAAACGTTCCAGTTAAATAATTGTTTAAAAAAACCGAATTACAATACAAATTAATAAAAATATTGTAGGTAAGTACTCGTCAGGTGTCAGCAAAGTGATAACATCAATTGTTAATGTAATATTACTATGGCGGTTTGTAGGTAATATCATCTTGACATCATTGTTGCAAAGCTATTTTCCATTTTTCACGTTTACATTTTACTCGGTTGTTTAAGATGTATTTTGTTAACACGAAACAAATACGGAGCGATTCAAATTTCAAAATATGACAAATATTTTTTATATTATTATTATCTCGGAAAATATTAACTTTTTAATTTAAGAAATATATAATTGGTTTTAAACATATTAAAGATCACATCAAACACGTTCATTGTGAATATTTTAAAGTTTTAATTACGGACCAGAATAGGATTCTGTCCCACAAGAATCTATCCTACAGGACAGTGAATAGACTGACGATATAAATGGGTATACATTCTATAAGTCGTATTAGTGTCGAAATCGTAACTGTATGGAAAAATCAAATGGGTCAAAATGGGCCATGTAAAAATTATTAGGTAACTTAATACATAATATTTTATGTTCTGGGCACTTCAAAATATTGTTCTTCTTGAACCTTATAGTATGATTAAGGTGTGGCTAACATTATAGTCATTATATTATATTATAGTTACCCTTGTTTCGTTAAGCCATTTGGAAAAAACGAACAGACACCACGATAACGATGGATCGTTATGTTGAGAGCATGTGCAGACATACTTGACCCCAAGTAAGTTTGTATACAAGTTACTCAACTATTGCTCTTAATTTAAATTCTGATGGTATGATATTTTATGAGAACTTTCGAAACCATTATTATAGCCGAAACGTTATTTGACGAAAGAATAATTTGTTTCTAACCGGTTAGATCAATAATTACAGTGAGTACCTATATATGCATTAAACTGTAACCGTATTTTTTGTATTCGAAATTTTATAACACCTAAGTAGGTACCTGTAATAAATTGTGTTACTTGATGACATAATTGATGTACGTACACGTAGGTGCTTTTAAATGAAAATCAATTTTAAATTATTATTATACTGAAAATATAGTTTTCACCGAGTGTTGAATGCAATATGATTGCTTTCATTATTTCAAATAATTTTCACATTTTACACCAGCAGTAGCTACCTGATTTCCGTATCGAATCATTTAATATTATGTAATATCGTATTATTAAACCGTATAATGATCAAAAGCATGCATGTTAGAAAATAAAATAATTAATATACAGGTTTTTTAAATTCTAATTAAAAATACCAAACCTTAATAATATTTTATAACTCTTCACCCCCCTGTGATTTTATATTATTGATAATAAATTATGAGAATAAAATAATTTTCTTTTAATATTCTGTAAATTATTATTGTATTATGTACAATTACTTTTCTCGGTTTAATATTAATAACTCCAATAATTCTCAAAACCTATAAAACCCTGATTGGTACACCATTCATTAAAATGTATAGTAATTATTTAAATATTAACTTCTCAGAGTCGACTAAAATTTATTGATTTTGTTTTCATAAAAATACGAACAAAAAATAGCTACATTAAAAACATAACATTATTGTTTATTATTTATTCCATACATTTATTTTTCATTTACTCTTAAACATATGTGATAAGTTTTAATTTATATATTAAATGGTATAATGCTATGGGTTTACGAGTTGACGACTTATAATAATTGAAATTAATAATTAAACCGAATAGGTAATGGGGTAGGTATAATTTATAAATAAAACCATGATATTATAATGCATATTATTTTTATAAATGAGACATAATGAATGTTAAATGATAATAATTAATTTTTAATTTATTGAACTATTTTCATTTCGTATCATAAAATTAAATACATATTAATTAGAATATAATAGAGTATTAATAATTTAACGAACATTATGACTAAAAGCAGTTAACAATTAACAGAACAAATTCATTGCTTAAAGTAGGTCTACAAAATATTAATAATTATTATCATACAATTATTATTGCAAGTTTGAACAAATAAGCGTTTAATACAACTTGTAATTAATTTTTACGAACTATATTTTCTACCAAAAATGTTAAAAATGTCGCTCCAATAAAAAAAACAATAAGAGACCATTTTTAATTTAATTTGCGAAAAGTGACTATTTGATTCACAATTCACTTTGTAGTTTTTTTAATAGTTGATCAAAACCGAAATAAAAACGTAGTAAGAACGGAAAATTAATAAAGGTTTTATTATTTTCAGTTTTGTTTTTTTATTGTAATTCAATTACAAATATTCATAGATACTTTATATTTTGATAGATAATTTATGTTTAACTTTTCTAAACGTGGTAAAATATTTGAACCATTTTTGAGCTATTTATAGATATTTAAATTCTATACGATTTTACGCAATTTTTATTTGGTAGGATAAAATTGTTTGATCAAACAGAAATGCTTAACAATTTTACAGGAGTTCATTTTAAGTTGTGCTTAGTGATCAAAAACCAAAGTTGAGTGTCTTGTAATATTTTTCTTATTAGAGTTTTAATATCGAATTTTGACTAAAACCGTAAATATTATGACTTTTCAAAACATATATAACCGAACTTTGCTCCAAATCGTTTTTCGTTATCAATGGTTTATCGTTGTTTACAGATATAAATTAAATAACCTAATTTTACCTTATGTAGGTTAGATTACCTAACCTAATCTTCCCACCTACAACAGTGACACACTCGTCCCCAGTATCAGCGCATTTTTTTTTTCCAAAAACTCGAGTAGAAATGAATTGCGTATCCTTCTATACTCTTTGACTCTAAAGAAATAGAGGTATAGAAACTTCAATAGCTTTTGAATTTCGATATAACGGATAAATCCTTCTGTCTTTAAAGCGCTGTTTGACTATTGGCCTATACACTGTATAAAATCATTTAGTATATTATAATTTTTAAGCGACGTTGCCTATTTTGCAGGTATAATCCATTCTCTGTAGGTACGCTGCGTGCGGGCCGTTATGGTGCGTGTTTACGTCGAGTCATCAGGCCCATCGCCAGAACGTTCTTTCCGAAATTATATTATCATAATAATAAATTGAAACGTCACAGGCATCACGACTTGATGTGACAAAGCAGTCCTAATTCGCTATTGAAATATAAAAAAATACAGTTTTTTTTTTAGGTTCTAATCCAGTTAAAATTACCATATCGCATTAAGTTAGAAACCTACCTATTACCTACATTTTTAAAAAATATTGAAATCGATTTATAACCGTGCATAACATAAAATTTGTACTGCACTTATATTGTGCATTTAACCTTTTTATCGCATATGTCATTGTTGTTTTAGCGCATTAAGTCCCGAGCCTTGATTTACAATAATATTACCTATCACCGTGTTCCAAATGTACGGCCGCCACCACAACTGTCTTCGTTAAAGTCCTTCGTGACGAGACAAGATCGTCGAGTCTCGTTTGAAAACCGCACGCTTGCAACAAATCACGACTTATGCAATTTTTTTTTTGATCTTTCCTCAATAATTATACTATATTATTATTATTATTATTATTATTATTATTATTATTATTATTATTATTATTATCATTATTTCTAGGCATAGTCGTAACAATACGTGTTTGACATTTTGTATTGGTCGCGTTTTGTTATTATAATGATCGTGTTCGCGCAAATGATATTGCGCACGGACAGTGCAAATTTTTCGAAACTTATGGGCCGAACGAGTTAATTCGAGTCTCCTTTGACCGACAGGTCGTACACAAACACATTCGTGTGATTTGGTGTTTTGTGCGAAAAAAAATATAACAACAAATTAATATTCGATTTCATACTTATAGCTAATACTTTTTATGTTTATCTACTCGAATAATAATTGTACACGCTATTTTTACGTTCACCGTTAATACTAGTAATAATACAGACACAATAATATTTAACTGTGACTTCGTGATTTGAATATAATCTACACCGACTTATGATATATTGGTATCATGAACCTTTTAGATCCTGAGCGCATTGAGGAATGTATAGGAAATGGGTTTTACTATGATGTTTTTTTTTCAGTTTGTAAACCACTTTTTTATCATAAGTCCAGAAATCTTAATCCGATTTTCAATTGTTGCAGCTTTTTTGAAAGAAAATTTTGTCTAGTTGGCGCATTGGGAAGATAATAATAATGAATAATGATTCATCTATTTTTCTTAATAGTAAGAAAAACGTAGAAAGACCGAGATAATATTTGTCAAAACACTATTTTCGATTTTGTATTTTAGTAGTAATTTGGTTAGGTAAAGATAATACAATCGTAATAGAAACCTAATATTTTCACAGAGTCCTTATTTATTTATATAATAAAATCATCAAGACATTCTGGACATTGTTAAGCTGTTTATAGGCATTTGACATTTTTTAGTTTTTATTTTGTTTTATGTTGATACAATTGTTTTGACTGAGCAAAAACGTTTAAAAATTTAACACGAGGTTCATCATAAGTCGTACTTAATAAAAAATCACGATTTGTGTTGCCCTGCACCACTATGTCACAAACTCATAATATTGACTTAGAAACAACAATTCGTAACCGCAAAAAAACAACATAATACTAAAGAAATCATGGTAAGAGGGTATCACGCCTAAATGTATGACATTTCAAAACATGTTTAACCGAATATCCCTGTTCAGAATCGTTTTTCATTAGTAATAATTTACTGTTGCGTACAGACATACATTAAATACCTCGAATATTTATCCTACCTTTCCAACTTCTCATTTATAACACTAGTGATACATCCGTTAAAATCATTAACACATACGAGTGTAACACTTACACGCATATTAAGTATTATTACAAAGTCAAAACCGCTGAAGATATTATACGATTGAATTGATCGACTCTACATACAAACTTACGTATACATAAGATAGGTAACCAAATAAGAAACATTAAACTATAGTACCAAACTATTATACGAACTGTTGGCAATTTCATCGGACACCGATTGTATAATAAATTTGTACGTACCTTAATAAGTTCGTTGTTCATAATACACCACGTAGACTATAATACATCACTGTTTATTTCCGGCGATGGAAATTATTATTTCTAGAATCGGTAAGTTTACTCTGTGAAACACGTATCGTTAGTCGTTTATCTATTCTATAATAGTACATAAAATAGTAGGTACTCGAATATACTCGAAATGATGTTAGTGTATACGGACTATATAGAATGGTAGGTAAACACTTATACTTTCTATAATGAACTTGCTGACGTCAACATCAAAGTTTTGATACATTTAATTATACAATAATAATAATATAGGTATATTCTAACAAGAAATTAAAATTCTACAAGCGGTAGTGGGTAGATTTTATTGTCGTATAACAGATAACGACGTTTAAGATCGAAAATTCTAAAACGTCATTATTTGTCAGGAAAAATGGCCATATGCCTTCCCATAAATGCGTCTCGGACAGTCGATATCATATATTAATGGAAAAATCTTACCACTAAGAGAAAAAAAAACATTTTCAAAATTGAAAAAATTTAGAAAACTGTTTCCAACCCCCTTAAACAAACATGTATGTATTTAAAATAACATTATGTTATAAGATGCTATTTTACACAAACTACCGGTTAGAGTATATACGATTTAATACTTCTCTTCCTGGAGTTCCTATCCGTTTCGGATATTGGAAATTATAATAAATATTTATTCTTTGTTAAATGAATGATTGAAGAAGATTCACATCATGTTATGCCTAACGATCAATCACGAAGGTTTTTCAACCACGATATCCTTATTTTTTTTTGAAGGATAAGTTTCAGTTAATCATTTATTTGGTTATTCTCATTATGTGACCCAGATATTCTGGTTTCCAAGATTATATAATTATCAATCATTATTTTTCTTTTGGAAATTTTTATTGTAGAAGGTACTTAAGTTAGATCTATGAATACCATATGATATACCATAATTATTAAAATTCCAAGATAAAGCCGCATTTCTAGAGCCTCAATTAATCTGCTTAATTTTTCTGGTCATGACCAAGTTTCGGCTCCAAATGATAAAATAAAAAAAATTTAATATTTTAGCAGTCCAATCAATTTCAGTATAAAGTAAAAATTGTGAAATATAAATATAATGCACATTTTGTATAATTATGAATTGAATATTATATATATATATATATATATATATATATATATATATATATATATATCGATATCAATATCAATAATGTTTACGAATTTCATAAAAGACTCTAAAATAACTACCACTTTATTATAGATTATAATTGTCCAATTACGAGCTGCTTTAATATAATATAACACCAGGCAATCTAAAACGCACCATTTAATGAAATAATACGAGCGTATTCATAAGTAAAAAGCAGGTGAATAATACACAAGTACACAACACAATACAATTTTAGCGCAAAAACGAAACGAAAATTCACCTGCAGTCGTCTCTGCCCGTAGCATTAAGATATTTACACCTGTCACTATTACGGCGTAGTATTTTTCTGCACCTTTACAACTTCATTGTCAATACATTATGATAAAAATAGGTATGCATTTATAAAATAAAATTAAGGACTTTTTGCTTATAGTTTTACGAGAATTTTTCCAATCGACAACAAAAACAATATAAATTGTTACATTGCATAACAAATATAAACTACAAATTATCTGAAATCAGAAATAATGTTAAATGTACAATTCTATTTACACGCAGGTTGAACACATTACAAGATAATATTTGCGGTTAAAAATATTCATAAAACCTTGATTTACTATACTTCATTAACTTTATTTAGATAAATTATACTTAAACAACTTAACCTCGTCAATGAAATACAAAAAGTATGTAAAAGTTAAATTTTGCATTATTTTCTGAATAAATATTTTAAGTTTAATTGTTTAAATCTGTATTGTTCGTATTCGTAGTTATATTTTACAATTTATTTTACTCATGGATTATCAATAGAAGACTATAGGTGATATATATACATACTTATATTCAATTATCGAAAAATTATAAAATTGAAATTGAGTAGCTGTACAGATGTTACGACCTAGTGGTAAATTATTTGTCAAATAAATTTCATACTGGTCGTAACTGATAACTGTTTAAGTGTTATTGGTTATAACATATTATAACTGATACACGTTGATTGTTGTCGGTCAGTATTTCATAGGTAAAAGTAAATAAACATAAAGGTATAATACATATTCGACCTTAACAGATAATAGGTAATCAATTCGAATATAAACCATGTATATTAAACTTATATAGATTTAGTATCAAATTTAAATTTACCATTTTAATGTAATTCTGATAATAAATTTAACCGTGTCGAAATTTATCACGATTTGCCAAAACAAAGAGTCACTCACTTATTAATAATTACTAGCCGAATTAACCGGATTCGACCGTGCGCAGTTTTGAACAAAAATGTAATGTCTACTGTATTTAATTTGACTAATTATATTAACGCATTTCTCATACATGTATACAATCCAGTATTTGGAATAATTTTTAGATGAAGATGAATAAGGGTTTAATCACACATGTACATTTCTTGCATACAACAAACATTACAGGTATATTTCAAACATAAAAACGGTTTACAGAAGGATTACTGAAACGTCTAATAATATCGAGGCTTTTGAAATACGAAACAACAGGTTTTACACTTTCTTAAGTATCGCTACAATTGCAAATAATTGAACACTCGGGGGAGTATTTGGAAAAACTCCGTAAAAAAAAAAATCGTTAAACATTTAAATTGTATCATCAGAAACTTGGTACGTTTGAATACATTGAAGGAAGCTTTTTCTCTCTCTCTCCTCCCTAACATAAAATTTAAAAACGGATGGCATGGGGACACTCGGATGATTAATTAGAATAACTCGGTGAAAAAAAAATCATAACAAATTCAATAGTGTCGTCAGAAACACAGGATATATAAAAAAAAAACCTGTTTTTTATATATAAATATATATATATAATTGGATCTCTGTCTGTATAAGATTAAAATTGACTCAAAACGCAGCTTTTGTAAAATATGCATCTATTATATGCAACTATTATTAATTATTTTAGTGTGTAACCTTATCCCTATGCTGTTTGAGTATCTATGATGATAAGTGAAAATAGTTAAAAAAAAACATCATTGGTGTATCTTTAAATCTATGTATTTTTTTTTCCATTGTTAAACTAACAACACTAACAACTTCAGTAATATTCATAAACATTAAGCAATGGAAATTATTTGAAATTCCGCTCAAAAAATCAAACTTCGGAAGATCAAGAAGACATGTAAGGTATCTATGTAAGTATATAGGTATATAAGGTATATAGTGTAAGGTACACTATCAGCCAGTAGATTTACTGAAACACTTGAAGAACGAGAAGCACGAGTTGAAAGAACTTGCGAGAGCAAACCTTTATTTCAAGAGCTACTGAAACATATGAAAACAGAAACACACGGCGTGAAGCTGATCCAGAGTCTCTAATTCAAGAACTGTTGAAACATCTAAAGATTAAGACATACGACGAGAAGCAGTTCAGTTCAGAGAGCCTCTACTTCAAGAGCGAGGATCGATCTTAAAAAGGCAGCGTTTAATTATGATAAAGACTACGATTATAAAATGCATCGCGATGTTGCCATTGGTCCAATAACTAATTTGTACTTTCATTATAATTTATAGTGCTGTGCAGTTTCAAAACAAAACGTAGACTTAGTTAACTGAAAGCCCATCGTACCACGTAGTTAAAAGTGTTTTGTAATATACAATAACCGATAAGTAACAAAATCGGGAATAATTTTTCCACCTAAATAATATTATTATTCATATTGTATGGTAGTGTAAAATATTGCTTGAATTTTGCACCTTTTCATCACCACAATTATAATACGAACGAAGAAAACACACTTTTAGTTATACATTTCATTCCGTCTGTTTTTTTTTTTTTTTTTATACAATTTTCTACTGTAGAACGGTTATTAATTATTGAAGAAAAAAGCTACAACGATCGATTGCAAAAACACGACAACAAATAATAAAAAATAAAAGCGACGGTAAAAATGCCAATGCGTGTATAGGTGTAATATAATTTGTCTTGTGACACGCGCAGTGATCCATACCGACAAATTGCGATTGGAATAAAAGCGACGGAAAATAATAATAATAATAATAATAAAAAAAAAAATCCAAAACGTGACGTATACGAATATAATAACGTCAATATACGGTAACATTATTCTTATTATAACACAATAGAATACTCCGTCATAACGATATTGTAGGTGGTTTACAGAGAAAAAAATAAATAAAAAACCCGATAAAAATATGTATTTATTGCATCGAGTAAAACGCGTAAACGTCGACCGTAACATGCTCAAAATCATAATTATTAGTACAATTTAATTTTCGACCGTAAAGCACGCGCATAATATGCATATCGACGGTGCCTGCGCATCGTAATCTACTTGAGTGCGGCAATAATGTTTAATTTTCATTTTTTTTTATCATATATATATATATATATATATATATGTATATAAGCCGTAACCCGTAAAACGTACGGTTGTTTTTTTTTTCTGCTACGCGTCTTGGGTGCGCGGTTGTTAATTATTGTTATTACGTTTTCGAGTACCCGCTTATAACGTCGTTATCGTTATTGATGCTCCCATAAAACACGACAAACGCGTCGCATTTCGACGCGTCCGCCCTCCTACACGGGTCCGCGCAAAACGAGACGGGCGTACGACCGTAGGTTGCGCGGTACGCGCGCACTCCGCTCGGACGCAATTTCCATATCACTACGGCTGTTCCATCGCGGAGTCCTCGCGCCGTTTCTTATCGGCTCGCGGGTTAACGTTACCGGATTTACGACACACGGGCCGGTTGCGCAAATCGAACGAAAACGATACGCGCACACGCACGCACGTACGCACACACACACATACACACACACACACACACACACACACACACGCACGCACGCACACACTGTTATCATATGATAATTTACCCAGCCATTCGGTCGCGGTTCCGCTGTTCCTTTAGCGCCCGTTCAAACGAGAACACATTGCTGTCGCAAAACACCGGGATTTCGAGCTGTTTGGATTAAGATTTATTATTTGTTATACAACACAATTATTATGATTTTTTTTTTTTTTTTTTTAATACTGACGGCAGTCGTCATTGTACATCGGTACAATAAAATCAAAATGACAAGAGGCGCATGTAATTTCAAAAAAAAAAAAACCTAGACGATCGGTTTCGGAACATTTAAACAAATGTTTCGAATAAAGTTCCATTGGGTAAAAACCGCGTATTTCAAGGCATGAGATAAAAAAAAATACATGCATTTTTACCATTTGAAAACGTTTTTGCCGTGAAAACGAAAAACACATCTCTGTGAAACTAACAGTTTCTTCACTACACTCGGAATCTAAAAAATATCAAAAAAGATAACAAATTGTGGCTCTCTTTACTTTGCGACGTGGCACTACAGCCTCTCCCACGAACCCTCTCTTAATCCGGGCCTGGGAAGGGAACTATTGTTCTAGTAGCGATAATAATATAAATAAAAACCGACTGGTATGCACAAACCTGAGCGTTGCGACTAGTCTCGACGGCGGCTCCTGTTCTTGTAATGGGTCATCAACGGCGGCCGCGGCGGTACCAGACGCCGCCGTCAGCCCCATATCCGATTCGGTTGCGACGGCGGCAGTGTTGGCGATGGCGGCCAGCGATTGTGACTGCTGCTGTCGCTGTTGCAGCGCTACCGCCGAGTTGACGGCTTCTTGGACGCTCCTCCGGCGGCCGTACTGTCTGGGTCTGTGCGACGACACGTCCGACGACCGTAGCCTGTCGGTGACATCCACCGGGAACAACGTAATCAACGACGGAGGCACCAGCCGCAGCAGCGGTTTGGGTTTCGGCGCCCTGGAGCCGGACGCGGCCACGGTTATCATCGTGTCGTCTGTCACCCCGGTGCTAGTGGTGGCGGCCTGTTGCTGCTGCCGTGCAAGCTCCTGAGTAGGCTGCGGTGACGGACGACTGTTGCTGCGATAGTGGTGTCCCTGTGTGGTGGTTGTCGCGTCCGCCGTCCTCGATCGCTCGCCGTCTGTTGACGGCCCCGGTTCCCCGGGCAACCGTTCTCCGCTCAAGCGCCGTTTCGCCGTCGCAGTAGTAACGTTCGCTGCCACTGGCGGGCTGATGCTGAAACGCAATTTGTATATTCTATACTATATTATAACGATGTGCGCGCAAATACGAATGAAATATTGTTATTATCGAATCGAGTTACTGCCAAATTTAGTTTGAGAAATATCTCATTTCTTTTAAATATGGAAGATATTATTACCCTCGAAATATTTGTCTAATATTCTCTGTAGTCTTTGACAATATATTACTCGTATTATATGTAACTTTATTACGTATTAAAATATTTGTGTCAAATATGTTTATGATGATTTTTATGTAACTCGAAAGTCGACAGTTTTCCTATACATTGACGACCATTTCAGTTGGTTTTTGTTTCAATCAAATCAATTTTATACATATTTGTTGTATTAAAATAACGACGACTGCGGTTTTCAATGATTTAAGAGGTATATCTACCAACATGAAAAAAAATACAAGCAATACAAAATCAGTTTTAATAATTTGATAAAAGGTAAAATAACAATTAAATATACGGTTAGTAAAATATTTAAATAAAATATAAGAATATTATTGTTGTACTTATATAGTGAAAAAGGTACCTGTTGTACACAACGGACACAAATTGATATAATAAAGTCCTTAATTTTACAATAAATATTATAGTAGGTATGCAATATATTTTATATTTATATTTGTGTTGTTATTTTCATACTTGCATTTGTTTTTCAGCTATAAAATGCATTAATGGGCGTGAGCCTAATGTTATGAATTAAATATTATTTAAAACGCCCTACACCCCTACTCCAAGGTGAAATGTCATAAAGAAAAATTTAAATCAAATACTTTTGTTGTGTAGATATATGATTAATAATCACAAATAAAGTAAAATTCAATTCTAAAATATTGCAAGAAGGAAAATATAATAAATAAATTATTAATCAACATATTTTTGATTTAATAGACAGTAATATAATTTTAAAATAATAAATACATTTGCCTATATAAAATGAAGTTATATCCTAAGTTGATTTCGTATTGATTATATAATATGTTGCAAATGAACGGGAAGTTATTTAGATATACCTAGTTAAAAGGAAGTTCGAAAGTTTATCCAAACATAATGCGAAAATTGTTAATAATTAATATTATAATCGATGAATAGAGAGCTATGTTATTTTACAAAGGTAATTCCGGTTTTCATATTGATTAGCTTAATTCTATCCAATATCTCAGGGCAATTGTTAATGAATATCCACTAGGTGTTTACCCATCTCCTTCCATCCTCTACTCTCCGCCCTTAAAAAATCTCCGCGATCAGACAGATCAAACCTTCTCCCCAACTTTTGCACTTTCCTCAGTTACCCATAGCACATCAGTGAAAATATTTACTATATAAAATATAATACTTTATTAAAAATTCTACTAATTCAATAATTCAATAACCCAGTAAATAAATTCGTACTCCACTGAATATCCAATAGACTTCACTGTGTATTCACTTGGAAAAACCTCCATAAAAAATGTCCTCTAACATCCACAGTCAGGCATAGTATTACAATTTATTTAATATACAAAACAAAATATTGATATAGTAGATAAATCAGCGTCGATGTTGAACATCTCTAGTGATTTTTTGTTACACAGTAACCAATAAGAATATCATAAATCGATAACAAAAAAAAAAATCCCGAAATTCTGACGTGAACGCCAGTAAAAAATTGAAATTTAAAAATCAGGGTCCGTCAATTTTTCTAAATTTGAATAAAGAATCTCTGCAGGGGTACTTTGGTTCTGAAACTAATGGGAAAAGTGATTACAGACGGACTAACAACCGTCAAAAAAAATTATCTAAAAACCGAAACATTGTATTTTGTAATCTATATAAAATCTATATACTAATTACAATGTACTCTATATAAAATCTATATACTATATAAAATGGTCTTGTCATGGTCACTCTTACACCTATAGTTGGTTAGTTAGACATTTTCGTTGATTCATGAGTATTACTTAGTAACTCAACGTACCCAGTAATATTATTACCCAATATTATTATTGGAAAATATGTGTAAACTTTACCAGCGACTTTGAGTGGGAAATATTATATTATTATTTATTCATGGACATCTCCTTATATACACATGTGTGTGGGTTTTTATGCGTAACGATAGGTAATATACATTTTCAACCTCAAATCGTAAAAAAAATTATTTTAATATTTCTCCCGTGGAGATTCGTTTATATTTCAACTAAATATATGATATTTAAAACTATAAAGTTATTAATATTTTGATATTGATTGAAACATGTTTTTAATAAAAAAAAAAAAAAACAACTGGTTTTTTGTAATTTTCACCCGAATTATAAAATTAATTATAATACAATCTCATTATCTCTTTATACCTACGTAGTTTAATACTGGTTCGAGTATTAAACTATAAAGTTATGTACCTACACACATTTTATTATAGAATATACTATTAAATTCAAACAATTAGGAATAATACGCAAAAAATGTATACCAACTAAAACGTGTTGTGTATTTTACACACACTTGAATATATAACCAAAGTGTTTAAAGTAACCTTAAGTAAAATAATATCATTCCGGTGTCTATATTATGTTTATGTACTCAAATCAGTGACGTATTTCAGGGGGAAAATTATATCCCTTTGATTACTTTTTAGTATATATATATATATATTATTTAAATAACTAATTATTTATTTTCAAATTTCTTTAAATTTTAGTCGGAAATATCGAAAATGTGTTACCGTGTCGGTATCAAAGAAACTTGAACTTAATTATAAATTTAAATTTTCTTCCTAAAAATGAAATATAATCGAACTGGATGGATTGAATTATAGATTATTTAGAAAATATATATATTAAAATTAAAAACTGATCTTTTACTTAGCACAATAATTTCTAAACCCAATATCTCCCTCTATGACAAAGTACACCGTTGATTCAAATCGAATTTTATGTAATTTCCCACAATGTCCACTCTTACTGCTTCTTATTCTTATCGAACATAATACTAATGTGACTGACGTTTTATTGAACTAAAACCTATCCGTCCTTAATGTTTTAATCTCGGTTTTAACGATATTAAATGCATTAAGTATACTTAAAATAATAAAATATCGCAATATCACTATATCACAACCTACACAGATTTCACATTAAAAACAAATAATTAAAAATAATAATAATAATAATAATAACAATAATACTTTTTGAGCGTGTTCGGGAATATTTTTTATATTTATAACATTTTACATACATTACAGGTACTTAATATATTTTAGTTTTTAAAGTTTATAAGTCACATTATATCAAAAACTGTATGATATACATTTAATAGCTACACATATTTCAACTTTTTTGAACATATGGTATTTCACATATTTTTCGCAATGCTCACACAAATAGGTCTGCATTTGCGTATGTAGGTATAAAATTAAATAAATGTGTACGTTACATACGTACTCAATTCATATTAATATGTGAGCACCCATAGGGAACCCCGTGCACAACGCACCAGTGTAATTTCTGTCTTAAGTTACATTACTCGTATCGTTCGTGAAACCAATAAAATGAATGAATAACGTCATCGCAGGTGTACCACAAAAGTGTGTGTGTGTGTGATGTATCCGGATCCGGTTTACGATATCTATCGACTATCCAGTAACTCGTTTTAATACAAATGATATTTATACCGATCAAAGATATTACATACCTACTACACAATATGAAACTATTGACTTGATAAATTAAAATAATATTGAAACTAACTGGATTGGGCGTACCACGAATGTTATGGCTGACGAGAGCTTGATTGATGAAACTTGCATGTAAAATCATAATTATTAGTCATAAATAATAAATTAACCATTGGCTGACTTCTACTCGTCGTAAATCTAGGCATTTAGATATTTTACGTACATTGATACCAATAACAATTTAAAACTACAGATTGGTTCAATTAAGTTTCTCGGAAATTACAAATTGCCACGTTTCTATTCTTTCCAAAAATAATGAAAAAAATAAAGATGTTTGAGCCGTTGAGAGTGATATTTTTGATTTACTATTGTAGTAATAATTTAATACCAACAAACGAACTATACTTCTATTATAAGTACAACGTGCGGATTTAGTTGGTAAAAATGTTAAGTAGGTAAATAGAGCTCATTTCATATATGCGCAATAAAGTATAAAATTAGATAGGCAGAAATGATTTTAAATAATTGATCTCAATAAAATGTATTATAATATATTCGGAATAGAAACGAATTAAGATACATATATATAATAGATATAGGATTTATGTTTATATGTATATAATCTTTTGAATTGGTTTTGCACGATTTAGTTTTCGATCTATTATTGGGAACACGAAGATTAGTTGTTGATGACCATGTTACGTTGGTCATGCATCCCGATGAAATAGTGGTCTTTAATACTAGTAATTGATAACATACTAAATCACGAACCTTATAAAAAAAAAAAAAAATAGAAATAATTTGACATTGATTTCGATTCAGGTAACCCAAAATGAAAAATATAACCAGGGACGGATTGGACCATTTTTCATAAAAAAAAATAAAAACGTCACAAAGCACGATGGCAATAGACAATCTAATATACATAAAGGAATGTTCGTTCGTGATTAATAGATTCAAAAACTACCGAACTAATTGACATTAAATTTTGCACGCATTTTCCTTGAAACTCGGAGAGGATTTGTAGCATAGACATAGGCGCAAATAAGCGGGCCTAGAGAGGCAATCGGTGAAAAAGGATTTAATCAAACTTTAACACCTAAAGAACGAAAAGTAAAATATGTTTTTTTAATATTTAAGGATGACAATGGTGTGAGTAATAGGGCGAAGATGGAAACAGGAAGTCACGGAAAAAGATATTTTTGTGTTTTTACATTTGTTTTTTCGTTTAATATAGACATGGGCAAAGCCATGCGACACAGTTAGTATAACAATAATTACATATTAAAAACTGAATAATAACTACTATAAATAATCATAAAATCAACTTCTATTAACTCTAAACAGTAAAATGTATAAAAAATAATAACCACCACATAGGTTATTTCGGTTTTCGTTTTTTTAAGGAACAATATTATACAAACAATTCCACTATATATGTCAATAAAAATTGACCACTCCTTAATGGAAAAAACAAATTTTCAGCAAAAAAGTACTCTTGCCCCCCTAAAATATGGGCCTGATGGAAGGCCGCTGCATATTATACATTTTCCCGAACCTGTCTAAAGTTCCAATCCGTCCCTGAATATAGAAACGACTTCAGTTCGCAGTTTAGTAGAAAATATATAGATCCTAGGCTTGATTAATTAAAATGAGGGCCAAATGTTCAATCCGAGACAGGGCCTTATTCTGTGTTATTTTAGAGTATTATGAAAATAATGCTTTCTTCCCCTTTTCAAATAATATAACATTTAGTTCACTGAATATCTTACTGCTAATTATATATAGTTTTATTGTATGACTCAGCTATTCTTCACAGAAATATTGATTCTTAGATGCATTTTTAAATATAATACTTGTTTAATGTTTATAATAAAAATAGAAATAGCACAAAATTATTTGTAATTTTATTCCATATAATTGTCAAATACTATACTTACACAACACTGTTTCATTATTATATTAAATAGAAATCATATAAAAATGTTTTAGTAGATAATTATGTATTTACATTTATCTATCAGCATTAGGTACCTTATAAAGTAATAAATAATGAGCTTAAATAAAACTGCAAGATAATTTAAACTATTCTGCAATCATAATATATTCAATTTTCGTGTATTATAAGTAATCGTATTACCATAAAGGTGGTTTTTTTTTTTTTTTTTACATAATAATGATAAAATATTTATATAATTTACTTTATTACTAGTACCCTCCTATTTTAGAAAGTACTTATATTGTTAAGACAAATAGTTCAATAACTTTACCTAACACAATAGCAATTAAACTTGATTCTTAGGTCAATTGACAACTAATTTTACCATCCTTTATTAAAAAAAATAAATATTTTTGTACATAATTTTAACTATTGATTAATATTTATATAAAAAAATATGACTGAATTTGTTTAAATTAATCACTATGCATTAAAACGTGACAAATTTTATGAAAAATTGGTATCATTTGTGAAAACGTATATTCTATTATTTCTATCAATGAACTGCAATGAATGAAATGGAGGCATGGACAACAATGCCGTGGACCCTGTGAGACCTGTACATTTTGAGGGTCAAGTGCACGTACAGCGTCTGCACTTGCGTTAATCTGAGCTTGTTCATTATATAGATTTTTTTCAATTGACTGTGAGTGTATTTTATAATATAGTCGCCGACTTCGCCTGATGGGTTACATATTAAGCAAAATATTGTAGGTGCACGATATAATTTATAAACGATGCATATTTTCTATCATGGGAATATTGAAATCTAAGAATACTACTATATTATAGTGATTACAAGTTCATTCTGTGAATTGAATATATAGTGGGAGCAATTTAGAGACCATAGAGTGGGTATCTAATTAATATAACGTCTGCAGACAATGCAGACATACCTACGTCGAATCGAATTGAATAGTTTGAAGGACATTGCGTAAGAATAGTATACTTGCGTCATCTATATATAGAATAGTAAACGTTAATTTTGATTGTCATGGCGATCCGCGGAAAATCTGTACAACACAAAGATGCACGGAAGGAGACGAAATGGAGCTCCGTGCATCTCTCTTTGTTTACTTTAATGGACTCGTAACCACAATTTCACAGTAATTGTCCATCGCGATAATATTGTATCGAAATAACAACGCCCAACAATATAATAAAATATAATTACGACAAATGTCAAAAGAAATTTAATAAGGGTAAATGAAATAGATAATAATAGAAATTGCATCTTGGCCAGTACTCCTGCGATATAATGGTGCACAACTGTGGTCTGAGGAGTATTGATAACATCACATTTCATTGACTTTCGAGTATAATAATTGTTATTGTTTTTGAAGCGGTATTTTCCGAGTGGTAGCAATTTTTCTGAAACATTACGATACAATACCGAACTGCACGGTCTGTCCGGCGTTTTAAAATCTACTAAAGTCGTATCACATGAACTATTAATCGTTCCCCCTATTGTCACTTCCTTTAACTATAATATATGGATCCGATAATAATATTACCATAACACCAATGAGGACTATGAGGACACAACGCGAACGACAACCTGCGTATCTATACGTATCTATTGTGACGCGGTAAAAGAAGAAAAAAAACTCACTCGTTATCTTCGCCACGGTCGATGACAGTAACTGGCAGCGGATGCGTGTCGTTGATTGTCATAGACGACTGCAGCCTAGCCAGGTTCAGATAGAACATCAACAAATTGGCGGCCAAGAAAACCGAGTGTACGTCATCGGACCACAGAGGCGACGACGGTGTATCACATTCGGCGAATAGTGATGGTTCAAAATGGTCTTCTACATCGACATCTCTTGGACAACTGACGCCGTTGCCAACACCATCTTCGTCTTCGGTCGTAGAAGACGACCACATAGTTAGCCTTTAACAGAACAAAATCAATTTAAATAAAATAAACGTTACCCAATAAAATACAGAAATCTGGTGATGATTTTCGGTACTTTCGTGTAGAAAGTTCAATGCTAATATCTTACCACGATATAAACGTTTTGATGTAATACGGCATGGTAAAAAAATGACGATACTAACACCTTTAAATTTCATCTAAATTGAACAAACGAAAACTTAAAACAAAGATTTTCTTTAGATACAAAAAAATCGTCAAGTAAACTATCTGCCAAAATCACCGGAGAAAATGGGTGATGTACTACGCAGGAGGAGGTAATAATCAATGAAATCTACTGATTCGTGGGACTCTGCAGTGTACACAGCGGTTGGTCGGTAGGTGGTGGGAGCCGGAGAAGAGTGGATGAAACGTCCTCGTTAAAAGGTACACTAGACAAATCGACTGTGACCAATTGTATCGGAAAAAGGAATTTCCGTTGGGAATAAAAATATATAAATAAATAAGTTTACGTTAAGATTATAGTTTATTTACCTACCAAATTACATATTCACACATTATTTACTCTTCAGAAGAAATATCCACGTTTACGAACTCTCATACTTTTTTTTTTTTATAATAAGGCATATCCTACAATTATGTCTTACAATAATGTTATTTTCGTTTCAAACGATGATTTTTTCCCGTACCTGTTCGAATTTAGAACCTGAATATGGTACGAGTGTTATATTATTTCCTAATCATTTAAGAGTTTTTATTGCTGCCAATGACATTCAAATAATACGGCGTAGTTTTATTGAAATACAAACTTTTATTAGTACCACGTGAAGTTTTAATACTTTTTCTACGATTGAAATATTGTTCTTACACAATCGTTTACCTACTAAAACATATTTATATACCTACTCTTGAGTATTATAATATAGTTCCACGAGACCACGAGACGTATTTATCAAATTCTTACTAAACGTTATAGTTGTGTAATATACCTATATATTATTTTCTCTTCGAGTGTTCTATGTTATTATAAAAGTACCAAACATTAAAGTAGTTATACAATGAGTCGGTACGCGTCTTATATTGGACTTGCTCTCGACAATTTTGAAGTTTTAAAACTAAAAGATGATAAAGAGTAATAAAATATTCCTACAGGACATTTTAGTAATGTTTCCTATAAATTACAATCAACTTAACGTCAACCAAATACTGTCATTCAGATTTATGGCTACGCATTGTTAAAGTATAACGTATACAACTAGAGTACGGTTTGAAGGTATTTGCTTTTTTTGTTTCTATTGCTCTAAAACAAAGCTATGTCAGCTATAAATTCGATTTATATTTATATTTATTTTGTTTTTTTTGCTTTTTTGCGGTATTTTGGGCACTTTTTTGATTTTAAGTTATATTTTTTCAAAATGTGTTCTAAATAAACGTAATTGAATTGTTAATATTTATTTTTATATTATATAATATGTTCCAAAGTCATGGCTGGCTCAATCGATTTTATCTCGTTATGTTTGATTTATGGATATATTTATCAATGTAATTTAGATAATGTGATTTACGTACTGTATGGTACATAGTAGATTCATTTATCTTGAAACTGTAATAAATACAAAAATATGCCCAATTTTTTTTAAAAAAAAAACCCCATTTTTAATGCTTTTTTGGAAAATTTATACAGCTTTCTTTTTTTTTTTAGTGCTTTTCTTTAGATTTTTATTGCTTTAAAATCTACACTCTATATATAACGTACACGTTTCACTATATGCGCATACTATACGCTACTATTGCTCCTTATTTTTCGAGACCGATACCTATACTACGCTAGATCGATATATATATGCCTACTTAAAATAATTGAATAATTTAAAATGTAAATCATTCGATACTTTTGCGGAAGACAATAGTTGTAGTGAAACAGTGCACGCATAGAACTGTGAATCCGTTTCTATTGCGTGTATAATATTATGTGTGTCGTGTGTGTCTATATGAAAATAACTGAACTCGATGTAGCATAATAACTAATAAGTATGTATACAATACCATAAAGATTTTTTTGTAAAAAAATAATACCGAAACCATTGTATATTGTTTTTCACGATCGGACCACGTAGTGTAGGTGCACTATCGTTCTGTAATACTATGGGAAGTAGGTATATATTGGTGAATCCACATGAAATTATTTATGCTCCGCCCTCTTCATTACAAACTGGATAGGTATGTTCATTTTCAAAATAATAGTACAAATAATGAAACGGTTACTGCTATACATTTTTCCGGCTTTTCCCCATTATTAAGAAAACTGCAACGAAAATTAAAAAATAACCCTCCGTGCACCAACAAATTAAAATGTCTTTAGTAAAAAAAAATAAAAAAAACTAATACATTTATAAACTTAAAAAGTTTTATAATTTTCTTGTAAAAAGCGCTGAACCAACTATATACCTGAGCAGGTGTTTAAACGTTGTCCCACGACCACCCGAAACATTTAACTTATGTATAATATTGTAATACGGGCGGTATTACTCGTTATTCACACCAACGAAAATGTTTAGAAAAATCGAACGACAAAGCACATAACTCACGTATAATATACACACACGTGACTAGCGTTTTCGATCGTATAATACAATCGTAATATACAGGGTGAACAATATAACGTAAAAGAGAGAACCAGGCGCGCGTAGCCAGAACGGATGTTTTGGATGTTCAAAAAACCGCTCTCTTCGACCAGGAGAGATATTTAAGCCAACGATAGATTATGTACTGAATGTATCAGGATCTTACACAATATGGCATTTAGTTAGCCGATTATAAATAGATAATTGTATTACTATCCTTTATCGTGAAGAAAATATTATACAGTAATATAATCATCAATGGTTATTGATTATCTTCTATACGATTACCGTATAACGTGGTGGTAACCGGTGGAAGCACCAGCTGCTGTTTGGAATTTGTATCGATAAACGACGCCGTGGAAATTCTGTGATATCCCACTCCCACAAGTCGTATTTAAATATAAAATTAAAACACGCTCCGTTGAAAAATCCTGGCTACGCCCCTGGTAGTAACAATCATTATCTCGTAGGTTGCCGGAAATTAAAAATATCAACACCAGAATGTATTCAAACTCAAACTTAATCTAGCTGCTGCTTACTGTTTCTTAAATTTTCCGAAAAAGTTAATATTTTCTGAGAGTGATGAGTGCCTTACGTTATATTGCACATGACTCTGTATACACGACGAGTATCGTCATGGTGTAATTTACACGGTGAATTATTCACGGTTATACCCTACTCCGATTAAGTATTTTAGGACCGGTTCGCACTGATCATCCGCAATGTCTGAGCTCGCGTCGGATGAGTCACATAATTATATAGTAGCAGTAGTTCGCAAAGTCGTTTTGCATCACACCGGAGCCACCGGAAGACAGACGGACACAACAAAATTGAAAATAATATTTTACTTCCGTTCGCTTTTGTTACTTAAATCTAAAGTATGGCGTACATTGTTAGAGAACTCAATTTTTAATATTTTAATCATTTAATCACGATAATAATTTGCTCGTATTTTAAATCCCAGTGTATCGAGCAAGGTTAATTTTCTATATTAACCGAGGAAAACGCCGTTCTACAGAAATTTGTATACAAACTAGCTGAAAACATTCGTTTTTATTTTTTCAATTTTATAATTATGCAGTTACAGTTTTAAAATTTTCTACTGGGTTTTAGCTGTGCTTTTAAACGATACTTTCTTAGTCTATTATATGTCAATGAGAATTCTTTGGAGGCCTTGAGAACGTCTAATATTTCACGTACGGGAGAATTAAACGAATGGAAGTTGAAATTTGTAAATTCTGTCGTGGGAAACGACGATTAACATAGGAACTGTATTAACTGATAACGAAATTATTGGTATCTCGTGGGAATTGAACAACGGGATTGGCATAGGACACTATAACAATAATGTACGCTATAATATTATGCTCGTATCATGACTCCCGCGCAGACAGAGCTCACCGGTGTGTGTATTTTGCCCTCTGCGCGGGCCCTATTATTATTCAATTCACTGACCGTACGTTGTACAATATACTCGTGTGTATACAGTGTGTTGTGTTATACTGTAATATATGTGTACAATAATATACACCCGTGTGTGTACAGTGTGTTGTATTATGCCGTATGCGTGTGTACACTGTACAATGTACACACACGTATCTCCCGGCACGTCGACCACGCCGCGTCGGTGGCAACGGCCGCCGCGTCCGTCCAATAGAAACATGGTGCGCGATGTCATCCGTATTTTATTGTAATAAATAATACTGTAGGTATACCATATATGTAATAATATTATGGTTTGGCACAAACGCTTGTCGTCAAAAATATGTATAACAATATTGGAGAAAAAAAAAAAAGTGTACGCCGTCGAGAGTTTCGGGCAAACGGGATTCTAATAATAATATAATAATACGAGTGTTATTGTTCTGTCGCACGTCCGCACATCACGGCCGGTGGTCCACGACGTCAAATTTCATTTGTGAACAAAAATATGAAAAACATAAAAATTCTCCGACGTTTCCTGCTGGATGGTCTGTATATAGTAGGCACCCATACATTGTACACAAATCTAAATTCTGCAATACTCTTTACGTAATAAAGTCGAATTGCACTAGTTTCAATTTGGTTTGACGCGATAATGGTCAAAAAAACCTACAGGTGTTCGCAAAAAACTTAATTTAAAGATTCACTTATTCATCCATTTCCACTTGCAATTTTATCCTTTGCGAACTTTAAAATTATACATAAAAAATTAAAAGCATTTTTTAAACTTGTGAAATTATAATTATTTATTTAACAACATAATTGTACGTTGAAATTTAAAACAGAATCTGGGAAAATGCCTTCGTGAAACATTAATTAGTTTAAGTATTTTAAATTCAATTAACGGTGATTCTTTAACATATTATGTCTTATTAAGATCCCTAAAGACTGTAAGTAGGAAGGTAAATCAATACTTCAAATTAAATTTTTTTTTCAAACATCATTTTTTTGAGGTAAATGCATTTCGGCCGTAACCATGCAATTCGACCATATTTTTTTTTTTAGTTAAAAAGTATAATATTCGACTACCCTCGTTTTACGAACTGAGGTTATAACATTTATTCGGAAGATAAGAATATAATTATTATATTGTATTTATTTGTATTGGTATGCAATGGGAGTGTTTTACTACCATAAATACTGACCTTATACATACGACAACATTAGATAAGATGTTGTAGAGTCTTATGTAGTTCGACTTCGCGGTCTGCGAATATTGTAAATAATAATAAAAAAATAGTTTAAAAATTTAAGAAAAAAACATCTCAACAATTTTACATTTCTATTATTATTTTGGGGGTGAAACGACTACCTACTTTTGATTTTCAAATGGCAACCTATATTACAAATTCCATAAATAAACGGAGCGTTAGATTGAATAAATGTCGGTGTTCAAATCTTTTGATTTCCGTCGGCCCATTGACGAGATATTTCACTTTTAAATTTGAATTGGGAAAGAGTAGTGATTAATCGTGGAGCATCGTTTGTGTGGCCGCAAAATTAAAGGAAACGTAACATTTTGAAACCGTTTGCTTCTTAAATATTGCCGGAAAAACGTCGATACTTTTCGAAACAACGAGAGTTCAACGATAAAATAAAATATCACTATATCGTCCGGGTGTATATCGTCCCTGTTGCGTTTATAGTTATTTTTCGAGTGGCCAATTGGCGTTTTTTGTAATATTTACGTTTCGCGCTCGTTGACGAAGAGACGGACTCTGTCGGCTCGGCAATACTAATAATAATGGTACCTAATAAATTGTCACACAACAAATAAAATCGATATCCACGCAGTCGACCGATAAACACAGGCGTGTAATGACTTTGACAACTTAATGGACCGTGACTCGACGCGTAGTATTATTATTACTATACTTATATAATAATATATTTATATTACACATTCGGCTGTACAGCGGCAGTCCTTGAAAACGCGGAAGATGTTCTGGATAGTAGGACCCCCTCACCACGTATACGTGTTGATATTGTCACTCCGCCAGATACCGCGGACTGTTTTCGTACGGATTTTGTCATTCGGGTTGTACCTATTATCGTTATCACGTACCTACCTACATAAGTGTACACCTATATCTATAAGTCGATCCGGTCGTTTTTTCCTATTGTGTCCGCACATTATAAAACGACACCGCGTGTTTTGTATCGTGTATAGGCAATCGTGTGTGTGTGTGTGTGTCAGCACTACACTGTAAGAGCTGACATTTTACAGAGACAAAGATTTTATATCTTTCATACGCGCGTAACAACGACGACGGGAAGACCGAAGAATAATATAATAATACACAGTATATACATATATATATATAGGTACTCTAACGCAATTTCAAACTGCTATGCATGCCAAACGAATTACATGCCTACGTATATACACACAATATGTTTGAAGCATGTAAATGTCGATCCTGAGATTTCGACAAAAATATAATATTCTGTTTGCTCTGTGAAAAATTAGTTTTTAAAACGTACGTTTCGCAATATGCATGCCTATCTATATTACTTATTAGTACAGTTTAGATATAAATTATAACTAAATGGTTGATTGTAATGTGGACGCAAGTGGGGCTTAGTACATCAACTAATTTTTTGAATATCTAGTGTACTCCTACTTTTTTTAAAGGGGAACGCATGGGACGGGTTGTTATTTAAGCTGACCGAATAAATATAAATACAGATAAATAAATACAAATAAATATAAAATTGCTCAACTTAAATATTTGTGTTAAAAGGACGTTATACCCCCTCATGCATTGTCTCAGCCCAACTATAAATAGCAAAATGTACCTTACTCAGACTGCATAAAACTCACTTAATTCTGGTTTTATAAAAAAAGCTCCAATTATTAAAATTAAAGAGAACATTATTCTGGAGGGAAAGACTGTGTTTTTCTTTATTAGAATTCATTTGTTGAAATGTTACAATCATTTAAAAACAATGAATTAGTCTTTATTTCTAAACGATATATTGGACGTTGTATTCGGAATAATAATTAGAATACTAGGATAAACGCAACGTCTTGCTCCCCAGATTACTGTTTTGTTTAATATTATAAAAGTTGATTTCACTCTTAAACTGAGCAAAATTACCACGAAGCGAGTTTTTCGCAGTCTGCGTAAGGTAGATTTTGCAATATTGCCCGTTAAATGAACTGAGACAGCGCATATGAGTATAACGGCCTTATAAACACGACCATCTAAGTTGAGTAATTTTATAAAAAGAGGTAATGTGAGGAATATTAAAATGTTAGGAATGCTAATTTATTAAAAGTACCTAGAGTAACTCTATTACATTATTCCCAAGTCAAGCATTGGTTAATACAGTTTAAATCCACGTGTTCATTTAATGGTATCAATATTTGTACAAATTGGTCCAATTGATCAAATATCGATGATAGCTCGATGGAAACTATAAAAAGAAAAGCAACATTCAAATAATCACATATCATAGTAAACTAATAATTTCGTGGGTACGATCAGGTTAGGTTAGGTTTTAGCCAAAAAAGATTAAAAACTGTGATAGGTACCTACGTAATTTAATAAATTTTTTGAACGTATTTTTAATAATCCTCTAATCAAATGAATAACAAATGAAAATGATTATCAAACACAAAATACGGATTTGATTTCACTTCAAAATCATTCAGTTTATTTTCGTTTTTTTTTTCAAGTGCTTTTTTGTGATAAATAAACAAATATATTTGTTTTTATACAACATTAAATTTGTATTTCGCAAGCCTTCTAAAATGTCTTCTAATATTGAAAAACGTAATTACTATTTCTCAGTGTTTAATAAACTAATTATTATACACATAAAACAAAACTTTCAAAGACATACAGAAAAAAAAACCCTTATAACAATATTGAACACTTTTCAATTCCTCGATATAATTTGTCCACGCTTATGTTAACAAATTTGTATCTGTATGTAGATCAAGGATTAGAAACAAATTCACAGAGAATATCTTTGATATACGCAATAACTGACCTTTACAATAGTATTACATTTTATTAGATCATTTTCGAATGGATATCTTATACTTTATTGGAAATATCGAAAGGTATATTGTTATAATATAAGTGTAAAGTATCATCGGTATAGTATTGTAACACGAGAATTAATTTGTATAGAAATATGATATTTTAAATTTGTATGGTTAAAATTAATATAATAACACTGTCAAATACAAAGAATTGCGAACGCATTTTAATTTTAAAAAATAAGAATTTATATTAGTAGTATTTTACAATAATTAAAAAAACATAAACCTATAATTAATATCTAGGTGATGATCGTAATTCAAATTATTGGTGTTATGTGCAAATCAGTATTAAACATAAAATGCATAAGTGTATAATACGGGGGGTTAAGAGGGTTATATCTATCCCCGAAAAAATCTCCTCTAGCCCTCTCAACAACTTCCCCTCCATGAGCATGCAGTAAAAGGTTATATCGTTACCTTTTTTTTTTTGCGAATATGTACAAAATATAATTATCTAACTATTTAGCGTATTTCATACAAACAATAAAAATAAATGCATACTTAATAGTATTATTTCGGGTTTGAAAATTAGATTTTCAACGGAAAGTTTAAAAATTGGAGTTGCTATTGAAAAATTTATGAAGTTTGGTTATGATAAGAGTTTAGTATTTAATGAAAATTATGTGATAAAATAAAAATTATTTATTTATTTTAGATTCTGAGTATAATGAAAAAGCTATTATAGTTATAGTTACAAAGAAATGTTTTTTTTTTCTAGTTAGAAAATGGTTTGATTTTAGTCATGCAATATCAATAAATGTATATTTCCACCTGATATTAGTTTATTTGAAATATTTTTAAAAATGTACTTTTTCAAAAAAATTATTTTAGATTCTGAGCAAAACGAGGAATGTATTGATTTTACAATGACTTTTTTATACTATGTATAAAAATTCTACTAGTAATCTTGCTCCGAACGTATCAAGTACAGAACTTTTTTTAAAAAGAATTTTCATCTAATTGGTATTTTAGGATGGTAATTTTTTTATATTCTAATCGGTTTTCATAAAAATTGGGAAAAACCGGGAAAATTTACGAAAATAATGCTTTTATTGTTTTCAATTTTGTTTTTTTGTTAATAGAGTTCAAAATGTTCGTAAAGAGTTGAAATTTGGGCAGAATACTTAAATTTGCTTTTTTTATACGTGGTAAGATTTTTAAAATATTTGAGCTATTTCTGCGCTATTTATAGACATTTTTATTTTGCGAGTTTTTTACATAATTTTTATTCGGTAGGTATTCTGTAGTTAAAATTGTTAGACCAAACAGAAATGCTTGACAATTTAACAGGAGATTTATTATGTATGCATTTTATTTTTTTCTTAATTTTCGACCAGAACACTGAAATACTCAAATAAAAATTTGAATATAACCTTTCTGTATCATTTTGGCCTCATTTATATTATTGCGAACACAATATTTTAAGACTGATCCCAAATAGTTTGGATGAAGGCAAAGGAAAAGAAGAATGTTGCAAAACGATTCCATACAACCCACCAACCGCCACACTAGGATAACTCAAAATCTAACACTAGTCTGATTATTTAATGTTTATTGTACACTATTTAAAGATAATGATTCGACACTATTTTCGAACAAGAGATAGTTTTTAGGAATATATATAAAAATAAAAAAACGCAAGTCATTGTAAAACTGAATTACGAATTATTCGAATATTCTATGAAGGTAGAATGCGTTACAAAATTAAAATATGCATCACTGTACCAAACAAGTAAAATTTATATTACTCGAAATATAAAATTGTTATTGTTATTATTACTTTTTTAATTACAAGTAAATCTATTTGACTGCCAAAACTCTATATTATATATATTAAAATCGTATTAATTTCTCTATGAAATTAACATATTTCTATACAGATTTTATTTTATTATATACAAATGTATTTGTAAGACATTAATCACGGCAATTAATGATTATTGACGTCAAATATACAATAATAAAACCACAAGAACGGACACATATTATACATTTTATTATAAAATTTAATTTAATAACCACTTCACTAGGATTTTGAAAGTTTTTATTCATACATATATATTTTTATCATACATAATTATATAGGTATGTATAGAGGTATATGAATTAACTACATATATTTTATAAAACCTTTATGTGAACTTGATTAACAAAAACGTTATGCAGTCCGTTATAATTTTATATTATACAGTTTTATATAGTACAACCACCTTAATTAGTCAAACAAAATCCATAATAAACCTACTATATACGGTCTTTACGCAATCCACGAGTAATCAACAGAAGTTTAAAGGTAAGGTCTGTCTATGCTGCAACTAACCACATTTTAAACAAAATAATTAGAGTATAAAAAAATTACGCGTAAATACATTTTCTTAGTAATTTTTACTAAGGATCAGACGTGGCAGATGATCGTGTTACATAAATGCGTGAATATAATTTGAAAAAAAAAACAGTTTTGTGCCAGTCTTAATCTGATCATATTTAAATACTATCATAATACTAATAGTAGAGTTATTTACATTAAGACGGCACTTTGTCTTTACAATCATGTAGAGCTATTTAGGTACACAATTACAATTTTATAATTTGTATTATTTTATTTGATCTCTTAAAAATAAAACCGCTATGTCACAGATATAATCTTGTTATGGATTGTACAAATTTGATACTTGATTCTACACTTATATCATAAATATGGTAGAAAGCATTGTCCCACGCCCGATATAATTTGCGGATGATTTATTAGCAGTACGAACATTTTTTTTTAATCATAATATAGGTTTTAACTGCTAAAATCATATTCCTATAATCTTTCTCTACGTCATAATGCAGACTGTCCAATCCGCCTAATCGAGTCCAAGTTAGTTCTATTATATTCTTCACGATTTTAATGTTTTGGCGAAATCAATATTGATGTAATTCGTGGCCATTATTTCAACGTTTCGAATGTTTTAATATTATGAACCTGCTGCGGTGATATACTGTATGATTATATTAAATATTAGTAGTCCGGTCATTCGTCGGAAAACGTTTGCGAAGACGGTGACTCAATCGAGTTAAGGAACTGCTAATGAGGTCGTTCGTAATACGTACACGACGCTCGCACAGTCATTATTATTACATCCCGGTACAGTTAACCGACAACCTTGCTCAATGCCACGAGAAATAAACATTGTGAAGACGAAGTAAAAAAACAAATTCACGTTACTCAACAATATTTCCCTCGAAAATGCAAAACTATTCGGTAATTTTTTTTTTTTTTAACATATTATTCTCAGGGTTTAAGACTTTTGCTTACTTTTTTAAACTTGACATTAAATCTACCAAAGTGCTATGGAAATGTTTTAGCATGCTACGAGTTCAAATATGACATTTTTTTTTTTTTGATTATTACCATAGTTCAAAAACAAAAATAATAATAATAAATAATTTTTACTAATATTTCTGTTACTTTTTTTTTTTTTGTACATTTTTTACTATGTGATTACGTAAGGACTGCGTTTAAAAACTTAGATTAGAGGAGAGTAAAGTCGGAATAGAGTAGAGTATTCTACCCATATTATCAATAACCCCGCAATAATTATTCAAGTTAACCGTGACGGTTTGAAATAAGGTAAACATTGCTAATAAATGATAAGAACTGTTGATAATTTTCCATCTTGTCCTACACTAGAAATACTTATTATTATATGATAAGCATATTTGTCAATAGAGTTAAAAAGATACTGTGTCTTTTATTTTAGGTTGTTCGAATAACCCGAAGTTAACGACTCTGCGTTACTGGACGGTAGTGCGGAATTAATTCTAATATCTCGAACGACCCAGAGTTTACTCGAATTATCCATAGTTAACTAGGGTTGAGTATTCGAACTCAGCCAAATCAGCAATAAAAACCATGCATTTTTATTCTGTGATTCTTTAAATAATTTTATCTATGTATTCTATTTCTCAAAGCATATTTGTTTCTGATGACGCGTTGGTCATCGCCGTATATGGAGCAATACAATTCTACGAGTGTGTAGTTTTAAAAATATTCAAGATTTGTAATATGGAAATATTAGCACTAAAAGGGCTTATTAAGCTTTTCTATAGGCTTACAATAATAATTTTTAGGCACTTCTTTGTTGATTTTAAGTGCTAAAAGTCCCGAAGTCTGAATTTACCACTATTATACATAAATATACCATCCATAAATACCTAGTGCATATTGCATATTACGGTGTAAACAATAAATATATTATTTTATGAACAGTTCGTGTGTGTACAGTGCTTACTAGTACAATACAGTCCGCGTTGTTCGTCTCCGCACACGGACGTAGACTTTCTCACGGATTTCCTTAATTTCCTTAGTATGCTCCATTGTTCGTTCGGCGACGGCGACGACGACAGTGGCGGAGACTAGGTCATATGTAGGTACACGTTATAAAAATTAAAAAAAAAAAAACCCAAAGAAAAAAGTCAACGACAAACAAAAAACATAATAAAAAAAACACGCATTGTTTCCACGAGTAATTTTTTTGGTTATAACTGTAATCACGAGAGTCGTTATAGTTTTCGAACGACCTCGGCGGCGCGTGGTTCGAAGGGAATAAAACTATATCAAGTAATCGGGTCAAGGGGTTCATATATATATATATATTTTTTTTTGCGAAACTTCGGGTCGAAAGACCTGCAGAAATCGTGCATTTGTGAAAGAAATGATTTTCGTTTACTTGCGGTGCTCATGTAATATAATGGATGATTGCAGGTCACAACACGAGTCATCTGTGTAGATACTAGATCCCGTATAATACATGTATATTGACCATGTTTGCGAAATCATGACGGAAAGCTTATGATAATAATTAATTATTGGCAGACAAATCAAAAAAATATATATGTATAACTTCTATACATTGTCGTGTCATTCTTCTATTATGTTTCCAAGCTACAGCTAAATATTGCGTGCAATAAAAACAATGTACCCTTAGATTTTAAAAAACTTTATCTCACGAAAAAAAATGATTTAAATTATTGATGGAGAATAGTCGTATATTTATAGTTAGGCAATTAGGCGACTTTAATTTGCATACATATTTAATGTTGAACCCCCTCCAAAAACCATACCTAGATACGTATAACTGTTACAAACTATGGACCACCCCCGAAGTAGTTGAAAATATTGCACTACCTACATTACACAGTTAAACATGACTTATGTGAATTATGACTAGTATACATCTAGTTTACTATATACCCAGTGGTTGATTGAGAGGTATACGGGAGTATACGACGTATGCCCAATACGCTATTTTTATCCATAGCGTATAGCTTATAACAATTTAATGACACTCGGATATATGGCCATATCTACCCTATATCCCATATGGGTATTTATAATTACCGTATGGCAATTATATATATTATATATTTATATAAATTACTGTAAAATACATTTTAATGAACACGAATTGTAATACAAAACGTAACACGTAACATGAAGATTTATTTTTATTTTTACGAAAAATTATTATTATTTAAAAATTAAGATTTTGTTATCAGTCTTGTTATCAAGCATTCACAATCAAATTATCCATAAAGTAAATATGTTGTGGGGAGGACTTCGGTCGACCGAATCCCACTATCATTTATCATAATATTTAATATAATTTTGTATTCTTATTGTGATTACTCGTTAAGTAATGAATGATGATAATGTTATACTTAATATTTATTAATATATTTCATACATTTTCCTGTTTTCCTCCGTTCTTTTGGTTTTTTTACATTTGATGAGAAATCTCCTAAGAAAATCGAAAAAATATCTCCCTAAAGAACCTCTTCAGTTCAGTTTCGTTTCAAAAAAAAAATACTATTATTGAAAATCGTAGTAAGATTTCTGGTAGAAAAGTTTCGCATAGATAAAAAAAAAAAATTAATAAATATCTTTGTAAAACCATAAGCTTCTTCCGTGCATCTAAAAGAGTTACTGTTCAAGTGAAGCGAGAAAAATATTTTTGAACCCTACCTTTAGATCCCCATATATCTCTATATACATGAATAAGGAGTATACCCACGGTTTATTTTAGCAATACATCACTGCATATACCTATACCTAGTATTAATTACATATATTTTATTTTCTAATTGATACATGATATTCAGTATTTTCCGTTAAATAATAAAAAAAAAATTACATAATTTATTTGTGAATTATGTATAACGCGTTCATACGCGAATAGTATCACTCCTATATTTTTAATTATTTTACAGTATCATACATATATTCCAAATACTTTGTAGGCATTTAATTACGAACAATATAAGAAAAACAGCTTAGAATCAAATTGAATTCATAATTCAAGACACTCATTCATTGCCGAATAATATTTAAATATAAAATAGAAACACATAAAACGCATTCGTTTCTCAAACGTTACAAAAATATAATATTTAAAACTATTCGTGTTACTGTCTAATTTTTTATTGCGGATCTTCAATAATGTATTTAACTTCAACATTAAAGTAATTTATTAGTGTCACCAAAATGTTAATGTTCCTAACGGAATAAGTTGTTCATTACTATCTTATTTACTGTTATTTCATTATTTCGATTAAAATTTACAAAACGTATATCATTCGGTCAAATCGAACCGTAATTGTATTAATACTATAAAAACAATATAAACAATATCTATATTTCCCTTTTAAACAATTTTATATATATCACGAGAAAACAAGTCTACCCTCCATTATTGTGAATACATATTGTAATAGTCTAAAGATTTTCTATGTGAAAATAAAATAATAAAATATCTAAAATAAAATCTATGGTCTTACTTATAAGACGCAACACAATTTACTTTTGTGCGTGTAAATTATCGTTTTCTAACGCCGCGCGCCGTAGTTTTCTGTTATTGCAAGTAATACAGTTATTTATAACAGAACGTTCAAAGCCGAACTGGACAAGTGGGAAACCAGGGAAACCCGTTGGACTGGTGGTATGAATCACGTTGACTCGATTTCCTTTAACAACTACCAATTTACTATTTTTACCAAATTTAAAATATAAATGTATTTATAGTGGTTTTTTTAAATATCAATACACTTTAAATAGTTTATAATTATGATCAACTAAAAAAAAAAAGTAACAGTAGGTAATGCTTTTAATTTATATTAGAAATTGAGGTTCTCTCTTACACGTGAGCGCCCTCGTCTAGACCAATACAATTTATTTACCAAAATATCAATTCGATTTTATGTCATGCATTTTCAAATTTGATATTTACGGACTATTACATTGTAGACTAATCACTCTACAATATGTATAAAGTATATTATAGCTACCTGACGCCGAGATCACAAAAATGTCGATTTTTTTTTAGGCACGCACGTAATGAATAAAGCTGGTGGCTTGACTCTATAATATCTATGATTCCTACAAATTTAAGTGACTTCAGTACCCAATTAATGTAGGTTTCCTTCACGATTCATTGCAAATAATAAGAGTCAAGGTCAGATATTTTAAACTGTATTGTAATTTCTTGCCGCTCTGATTATTTTTCATACGTATTCAGGCTTTCAAAAACGGGTAAATCAGAAAATTATTTTTTACTGCTATCATTGATTATAATTTATAAATAATTAATATTATTAATACAATAACATCAAAATGGAATAGCTCGTCAACAAGTTAACGGAAATTAAAGATTTCTATACCAAAATTTATTTAAACTAAAACTTCATCTATTTATGTAATTGTATAGGTTTCTATTACAAAATCAAAAGTGGGTAGTGGTGTCACCTTTAAAAATAAGGGCAATGTTGCTTTTTAAAAAAACTTGTTTTTTACATTTTCATACAAGTTCCGAAGATACTTTCCGAGATGATAAGTATAAGTGTCTTACGTTATGTAGATACCATGTATAGGTATATATCATTTTATACTCTGAGCATAGTGAGAAATGTATTGGTTGTACTATGATGCATTTTTTTGTGTTTGTAAACAACTTTTCTACCAAATATATTGCTCCAAACAAAAACTTTATAGGAACTTTCTTATAACAATTTTGATCTAGTTGGTGCATTGAGGGGGTCATTTTTTGATTTCCCAAGTCATTTTCGTAATAGTTAATAATAAAAGACCGTTGGAAAAAAGTTGAACATTTACATAACAATGGTTTCTATTATTTTAGAACTTAGAAAAAATCGTAAAAATCTGTTATTTTCACCAAAAACTTAAATTAGTTTTTTTAGACGTTGTCCATTTTGTCGATTGAGCTAATTATACCCATTTAAAACTGTCTAGATCAGGTATAGGTTATTATTTGGTTTTATGTATATAGTATTTTTTGGGTACTCAAACATATTCGAATATTTAATTCAAGGTTCATTATAAATTGGCACTATAATAACCTCGTTGAGTGTATACAAAGGTAAAAGTAAAAGACAAAATCTATATCAGATAAGTCACATTTTGAAGTAGAAATGCCCAGGTATAATTTTTTCTATAATGTTTGTGGTCAAGGTCGTCAATTCGTTGGTATTAAATTCCTACAGATACTAAATTTAAATTTAAATAGTTGATACGTCTCGTGGGTCACATTATTTTACAATTACCCTTTACTGAAGTTTACTGAGAAATTATATCACTAGTAGTTATTCACACCCGATATTTACATGGTAAGCTAGAGTATTAGAGTATTAGAAATCACAAAATAATTGCGTCACCCATGACAAGTAACCACTAAAAAATAATTCCTAAGTCAGCCGCACTCTTATTATATAAATACTCTTTAGTTATAACCGTTTATTCTTGAACGACCGTGAATATATGATATTAATACCTTAAATAAATGAATGACTATTTTATTGAATACTATGCATTCAGGCACCAAAGATTTTATTTTTAAACGATAGCCATCATCATGAAATGAAATATCAATTCATTAATAAATATTGGTTACTAATATTCACTCAAATATTCGTGAATACATATTTAAATTAATTTGAATAGCGCTATAGAAGTAAGGCAAACATCTTCAGTTCTTTGTCTAAAAATGGTAAATAAATAATATTCTGCCTAACCTGTCCTATAACAGATGTCAAGGGCCATCCTCATTAAAAATTACGAAATCAATACCTATATATTTATTAAAAAAATACACTTTTACACAATTTAATTTTCGAAATTTCGGTATAGTTTAACGTATTAAAAAATGGTCAAAATTTATAACAATTATAAAAAACTACTACATTACGCTCAACTTTTTTTTACCACTGTAATATATCTGAAAAAAATTCAGAGGGAGTTCGGCACTAATAATTTCTATTATTACTTATTATTTTATAAATTGATAAATATATCAAAATAACTGTAATTGTTAATAAACAAATGATTTCAGGGGAGGAGCACGTTTCCCCAGTGCTCCCCTTGCTACAGCACTAACATATAAATTATATTTTGATAACACTATGGTGGGCAAATTTAAATTATTTGTTGCGTTTTTACGTTAATGATACGTTACGATGAGTGACTATAATATTGAAATCTCTGTCAGGCTCAATAAGATTCTTTAAACAGAAAAAACTTACATAAAAACGCCACAAAAGTTTTTTTTTTGTTTTCGGGGGAAAATGATTTGACGCCCCCTGACTACTAAGACAGGCCGCGAACTACAGATTGACAAGTGTTTTAAACGATTTTAAAAGAATAGAATATTATGTAAAGTGAATAGTGGATTTTAATATAAAGAACTACATGACAAATATCAAAACAATTATTTAATTAAGAAACATAAGACATATGAATTATTATAAAAACTGATTGGGTTATCACTAATTAATTAATAATGCAGTAGATATAGATGAATAAATAAAATCACCATGATATATTTTATGACAGTTTATACCTAGGTATTATATGTAATATATTAGTTTATTAGTTAATTAATTATTAGGCTTTAAAAATTAGAAATTATTTTTAGATTCAATATTTGAAAATAAATAATATCTCAAAGTTTAAGCTAACACTTTCTAATCATTTCTCCCTGGACCTCACTTTGTAAGATAAAAATAATAATATGATTATAACGAAATTGTATGACTTATTATCAGTGCTGTTAAAAACATTTTGGAACTTATGATGATCTGTTATAAAGCCATTCATCAAATAATGAACTATTGTTATCTGTGAAATGTTTTTTGTCACGCATAACGTGTTCGGTGTTCGGAAATAACGAGGAATAACGTAATTATAATTTCTGCAATGAATTGTATCTAATAATAGTAGCCTTGTTTTACATACTCGTACAACCGAATCACTATTTTTTGTGTGAAGTTTCCCCTTTATTTATAAGTTTTATCTACATTATAAATATAAATACATATTTAGGTACATAATATCCCAGTAATTTAACATTAAAATCAATTACTATTTATTAAAAAATGAGAACTTCTGTAATATGTACTGCATTCCATTTCAAACTATGTTTACGCCAGTGCTGTATAAAATATTATAATATCTTGTTCAATAAGAAAACATTTTTCTTTTTAAACTAATAAAAATTTTAAATCTGTAAATAAGATTTTATATAGTAGATGTTTACGGCAACATAAAAATTCAATACACTTAATATCATTTATTTAGTTTTGTTTTTAATCGAAATTATATGATAATTGGTCCACTAATAATATAATATTGTTTATAACTTCACAAACATTGTATTGTTAATTAAATTCCATTAGAATAATCTGTACAGTTAATAATAATCAGTATTCATAACCAACAATAATTATAATAATAATAATTGATTTACGTCCCTAGGTGAACTCTATTTTGTGAGCGAGGACATCGACACGATAAAAATCGAAATAAATTTTATTAATGAAATATCCTATTTATGTAGTATTCATACAGCCGAAATTATCCATAATAATTATTGTTGCTCCCGTCAAATAACAATATATTTAAACATAGGTAAGCAAGTTACATTTTATTCGAAATATTTGTGTATGAAAATATTCAATCATAATAAACTAACTCGTGTTTAGAGAGGATTAAAAAAATTTTTTTTTTAAGTGGTTTTTTCATTTTATAAAGGCAAATAAATAAACATAATAATATGTGGCGTATTTTACTAGATGTTTTATGAATACGTATAAATTGTACAATGTTTAACGGTATCTATATACAATTAAAATAAAAGGGAATTAAAATCAAATAATTTTTGTAATACAAAGTATACTGTAACAGTATATCTGACATAATATTTGATTAATTGTGCTAATTAGTAATCAATTAATTTAGTAAACAATTAAGCGGTAAAACATTAATTTCCAAACTGTTGTTCAAAAAATGACAAATTAGCAGGATAAAAATCATTCAAATTATTCGAATACGTATTCTGAATATATTTTTATCAATTTATTCGAACACTTATTCTGAATACAAAATTACAGTATTCTTTACAATACTCGCACTATACGCGTAGGGTTTTCTCAGGGAAATCTAAACAATTTTTTAAAGTTTATAGATATTTTCAATACCGGTAATTATTCTAATAATTAATAATATATGCATTTAATTGTAATAAGCAGAACATTGGCGTGATGATCGTTCCATGTTCGGTTATAACTTGTAAGGGTGAAAGGTAAATAATTAATAATAATAAGTAAATCAGACACAGATACAGATGCTAATTCAGACCCAGACAACAACGATAAAATACTAAAATGACAGTTTTAAGTGTGTTAAAGTTATTAAATATATTTAACTTGATATGTGTATTTCCTCATATATCCACAGCATACACATTTCGGCGTACTTTACTATCAGCTACGTAGTTGTTAATAGTGAAAGAATATTTTCTAAGTTTAAATAAATAAAGACCAGAGTTCGTTCAACAATGGGACGAAAACGTCTTGATAATAATTGTATACTATTATGACGCAAAAAATATGTAAGTATTAACCTCGATGAAACAATAAACATATATGTCAATATTTCTAAATTATTATGAGAAGCTTTACTATGCAAGTGACACAATTTTGCTAAAATAAAATGATTATTATTTGTTTATTTATTAAAAAACTATATATATTTATACTATTGTACATTATGTACATTATAATGACTAAACGTATTTAAACGTTAAAGAATTAATTTTTAGTTAACCAATACTCCAGAGTTTGTTTTAATTGATGTTAAAAATATTGAAACTTGACTTAAGTATATCATTATAATACAGTATAATGAAGCGTTTATTATAAAAAAATATTCAAAAATCCCTGATAAATTATCACCATAAAAAAATAATACCTACTGTCTACAAATATTTTTAGGATTTTAATTTTAAATGACGTTTAAAATAGGGGGAGGGGAGGTGTACAAATTAAAATATGTCGTTTAACACATTTTGTGTAGGACAAAACTATACGATGCGATCAAAGCGAACCGGTTTGGTAAATAGGCACGTTTACATGGTATATGTTCAAATTTTTGATCCTTAACTAAAATTAATCAACATAGTCCCACACGCCACTAAGGCAGAACAATTACGGCTTTACGGGATTTTTCTTTTCGCTAAACATATAAAATTAACGTTAAATTATAATTTAATTAATATTACTATAGGTGCTTTGTTAAAGGTTTAACTAATTTAGTATATTTCGTTTCTTTAAAAAAATCATATTATATCATCAAGTTCAACGATGATGAAATTTGTTAAATTATTATTATTTTTCATTATTTTAATATCTAATCATTGAATAAATTTAAAGGTTTGTCTCCAAATGGTTTTATCGTCCTTCAAGATTGCATTGAAATTACAAACAATACTGCATTTCGTATAGTACATCATACATAGGTGTAGTAGTAGTGTATACCTATATGCAATTCAGTATTGATAGTATTATTCCTTTAGTATTTAATACAATAAATTGCAATCATTATAGTTTTATAATAGATCTCTCACAAGTACACAAATATTTTAAATCGTACCTATATATAGTTATTATGAAATTTTAATCGAAATAAACATATCATTCTAATAAATGTATTAAATTATATCAAAATGAATAATTGTTTTAATGTATATAATAAAGAGATGCAATCGTTTTATTAACATTACACACGCATGCACAGAAATAAAATTAAAAAATATGTGGTTTACATAAATATATACACACGTTGAGAATAAAACTTAAATAAACTTGACATAAATTTAAAAATAATAGGAAAATACTATATTTTTCAATTTTAATGTCACCTGCCCCAATTGTCCGCATTATATTAACTATCAAACTATAAAAGTCCGAAAAAGAATGCTTATATTTAATTCAAACAGAAAAATTCGCTACTCGTGTGTAGAACTTAAAAGCTCCCCATCTATTCAATTGTGAATATGTGTACATAAATGTTTTTTGTAATAATAATAATAATAATAATAATTTGTATAAAATATAAACGCCAAACCAATAATGATTATGTAAAAATAAATTTTGCTTTCTTTCTTGTAAAATTCCGCATCTATCGGACCTTAATAAAAACGGTATGTTAAAACGCTTGTTAACTAATATACATAACGCTCAACTTTTTATAGCCACTAACTAAAACTAATGATGAGCCACGTGTTAAATTTTCAAGCATTTCTGCTCAACCAAAAATATTTTTCCACATAAAATCAAATAAAAACTAAAAAAATAGGAATATTTCAAATGCATATATATTTGATAGCTCAAAAATCGATAAAATGTCATTGAAATTAGAACCAGCTAATAAAATCAAAACATTGGAAACTGTTGCTGCGTTCATTTTCCCGTTTTTTCCAATTATTAAGAAAACTTCAAGAAAAATCAAACGTGACCTTCCCGATACAAGATACTAGATATAATTTGGTTTTAGAAAAATGCTATAACTGAAAATAGAAACCAAGCTATATTATGACGCGTAAGATACACAGAGAAAACTCATGTTAGTAAATGCTGATGTAGACTCTTACATTATATAATATTATTCATAGTGTAGTATACAGTATTTTATCATTGACAGTTTCATGAAACTGGTTTTTAAGCTAAAAATAAGATTATGTTAAACGATGTGAAATATCGAGTTAAATATTGTGTTCTTCAAAAATTCAATATCAAGTTGTACAACGAAACCTTAATATTCCATTAAATGATAAATACTTGTTTAGAGATTAAGGATGAATTCAGACCTTGAACTACAATACGGTTTGAATATTAACCCTATTGTCCTACCAAAAAAAATTCCAACAAATCTACACCTATGTAATACCCGATACCAAACCAAGTGTAGAATTTTAGACTCAACTAGTACCTATTCGCTTATAATAAGTAACCGCTAAAATATATTTTGATAAAACGAATTCATTTACTTATTTATTATACACGTGCAGTATTAGCAAATTTTTAAGTCGTAAATTTAGCATATTAATTATATTAGTACATGATTATGATTCATATTAGTCATAATGGAATATTGGCATATTATTACTAACAAATCGGTATTTATTTATTTATTTAGTACGTATTCGTGAGATAAATTAGCTGTATTCCACTAACGAATTATTCCTTCGGCGAGTATACAATGAATTCTCGATAATTTAATAATTTTCGTTATTATTTGTTTATTATGTGTGTTAACACCAATCAATAGACGAATTGTTATAATACAGTTAATTGTAATATGTAAAGAAGACTGTTTTTTTACGTTACGAATTATGATATTTCGTGGAAAAAGTTAATACTTTTATTTGAATACAATCGCTAATACCTAATAAAAGTAATAAATAATACAGTGTTCTATACAATTGTACAGAAACAGAAAACAGAAAACAGTTTTCTATAAATGCATTGTTTCGGATCTATTCGTTCTACAAATTCATTGTATAATATTATACTAAATGATAAACTCGTACGTATCCCATAGGTACATACTGTATATAAAAGTAAATAGATTTTAAACTGACCAAGACGTCGTTTTCTAAACATAAATTTTGAATTTTTTGACTAGTTTGTAATCGTCATAATATTTAAATTTTAAATCGACGACACTATTCGAGGACACTGATCGTTTTAAGAACTGATCAATTTGCATACGGTGTAAATATTCAATAATAATTATTTATTGTAGTAAAACGATAAAATAACCAAAATAAAAATTATTTTAACTAGTTGACATTTGCAATTTATATAATATACTCGTATATACTTAAATGAACCATTATTTATACGATGTGCTTTTATAGTTAAACATAAATGAATCAATAAACGGCAAGTCATGTCCTTCTTTCGTAACTCTCATGAAACAAACTTTGTCTATTCCAATAATAGCATACATATCTCTCCTGCTGTTACTTTTGTTTGTGATCTTGGTTTTCGTTTCATTCCCAATTTTTATTTTTTGCCCTCGAATGCATATTGAATAAATAACTTGCTTTTGGTTAAATTTTAAGAATTTCACGTGAATTCAAGTCCTTTTCGGCAATAATCGATATCTACTATTTCCGTTTGCAATTTAAACTATATGGAATATAGGTTTGTTCTCTAAAAACCCTCCCACTTCCGCGGAACTTATAAAATTAACCCCTAAATTAACATTTAATTTAACTCATTTTTTATTTTTATGGAAACTGTTACAAGATTTTTGAAAACCTACAATGGGTATGTAGAATAAAAATAGTTGAGAAACACTGTTCTATAGAGTGGTGCAATTTCATGACGCTAAAAACCGTAGTTCAAATCCTACGTCTACGTCTAGGGTTCACTTCTAAAATAATATTTAAATATGTAAGGTTTGGTCAAAATACATATCTCTTATAGTGACAAAGTGGTTAGAACGCATGGGGTTCCGAGTAGCTGGTCCGAGTTCAAATCCCGCAAAAGCTCAAAACATTTGTACAATTTTTAACCCAGTTTTAAAGGGAAGCTAGTGTTACATTAATGTACAAAATATCACTGTTACGGTATTATGTTGACACCGTGGCCAAATAATTTTTATCACAATACGGAAACAATATTATATTTTCAAAATATTTTCATGATGTTAAATAATTATTTATTTTGTTACAACTATCAGCATGATAATGTCAGTGTTCAAATAGCATTTTGATAACGAAATATTGCTGTTTAGGAACATCTCTGAGTAGATCAAACGATATAATATGATTAAGCCTGTTGAGTTTTCGAATGCGTACAATATTATCATTTTTATTGAACACATCGCTGAAATTCGGGAGACGCCCACATATTGTACACTTGTTCGTCGGCTAATCGTCAACGGAAGAAAAAATAAATAAAATAAAATAACGAATATCAAACCGGCGTTACGATACGTAACACAATCACGAAACCATTGCCACGTTTGTTAAACCGACGTTTAAAGCGGTGGTTCTCAACCTTCCGGAATCCCACCGCGTAACGTCGCCGAGGATTTCGACGATGCTTTCGTTACGCGCTGTATGTATAAAGGTACCTTTGAAAAATTTGTTCGGATCCGTTATACGGTTACAGACGTTACACGGTGTACGGCGAAACGTTTCAACGGAATCACGAGCCTCGTCGGATGTAGTGGCGACCCTACGGTCGAGAAACACCGGTGTAAACGGGTTTAAAAGATCGCCGGCAACAACGTGCACCGTAACCGTACACCACGCCGGGAAATCGGGATGACATAATGACACGGGTATCGTATAATACCGGCCAGTGATGACAATAATATTTTCCGTGTTATTATCTTCCGTTCCGATTTCGTCGGCGCACGCTCGTGTCAAACACACGGTACGTTTGGTACGTAATAAATAATAGTACAAGTAATAATATACCAAACAGTCGTAGGTACGGATCGCATTGTTCACGGAACACAATGTCGCCAGGTGAAAGCATAATAATATCATTATGATAACGCGCGTGTCCCACGCAAACGAACGCGGCGGTAATAATGCGTTTCCGAACGGGACAGACCGGCCGGCCGTGCGCGAAAAGCCGCGTGAAAAATTCGAGAAAAAAATCATGTTCGTTTTGCACGGTCGTATCTGCGAGGATCGGTGGACCCACCGTGGTGGGGACGGCAGCTTGTACAATATACAACGGTACGAAACGGGGTGGCGGATACGATTTACACCAACAATATCTGCCCGCGTCGAATTAAGTCGTATACGCCGCCGTTTCGTTGCGCCGATCGTACCGGCACGCACATAAACAAAATTCAACTATGTATTAAACGATCAGAGCTCATTGTTTCGCGGAGTCACGAAGGCGAGCGACTTTCTGCGGAACCACGCGCCGAAATCGTCGGCCAAAACTATACTATATAAAATGTAATATTATACAAGAGTGAAAAGAGTTATTAGATATTACGTGAATTAATGATGTTGTATACCTGATGTGCACGGGCCGCTCGCGAAATCCGCAAAACTTTTATCGTCCGGACCACTACGGCAATATATTCAGTGTTATAGGTAACGTATAATATTTCAGACACCCATACGCGTAACAACATACGACGGGTAGGTTAGGTATGTACAGGTAACGCTCGCGGGAACAGATAATACGTTCGGGCGGCAATATCGTTCGGATCCAGGGACTCGGGCGGCGGATTATCACTACACGTCGTAAAATATTTCGTCGTTTTCGCCGTCGCGGACGCACGTTTGATTTTTCCGGCCGCGTGTCGCGCGTCTCGCCCTGATGACCGCCGGCCAGTGCGGTTGAATGTGTACTGCGCACGCACACTCGGCACTCTGTCCAGCAGCCCTGCCGGCGACGAGATGGTGCCAACCGCCGACGCCGGTGGTGCTTGCAGCGCGGAGCAGACCTTGAACCGACCGGTTCAGTTGCGACGGCGGCCACCGAACAGCATCGTATAATGTTATTATTATACAATGGTTAGTCAACCGCTGCGCCGCCGTCGCGTTCACTCGTTCAGCTGCTGCTGCTGCTGCTGCTGCGTGATGGTCGTCGACCGAACCCGTTCTTTTGGTCGTCCAGCACGCGCATAACGATGCACCGTATTGTCATGACGGTGGAGGGGGTCGTGCGGACTATACCAACTGCAGTGCTCCGACGGACTACACGGGCCTACTTCAACGGCCTTCTCCCCCCGGTAATAGGAACGTAACGATAATAATAATAGTATAATTCGCCTAATTCACTCTAAACCTCGCACCGACTCGGCGTCGGATTGAATAGGGATAGTGCTTATAGAGTAATGTAGCGTAACGAACACACGGACTCCCACAGAAAAAATGCACCAGAACTTTGTTCGAAAATCGTCGTGCGAATTCAAAGTTGTCAACTTCGTACAAATTGCATATCTATCGGAGTGGAAAATTTCAAAAATTCTAAATGGGCGCAGTCGGGACAATATGCCATGCGCGTGTATTAAAAAAGGGGGAGCGAATACGTAAAATCTGATAATTAACTATTGTATTGTCGTCGAAAATGTGAGCGCCTGAGAAATTCCAATTTGATTGAGCCATGGGAAGTGGGTCAATAATCCATCATTAGTTTTAAAAATCAAAACCTTCACGAGTAAGTTCATATAAAACGCGGTGAAAAACGCTATCACGTAAGAGATCAAATACTCATAACATCTTCAGTTGTAAATATCCCTATTTGGGGCGCTGTATTGGACGTAAATAAGACGTAGACATACGCAAAAATTACGACGTATATTTTTGGCATAGAACTGGTATAAATACAATTATTTTACACCCATATTTTTCGTATAAAATTGTTCTAAATACAAATAATTTTTTAAAAGCGATTGATTGTATTGAATTTTAAATTTCGTATTAAAACAGAAATTTCAAATTATCCATAACATTGTGAAAGAGGACAATGTGTTTGGGCCCTTATTAAACAATTTTTTTCAGAAATTTAGATGTTAATGGTATTTTATTAGATTCACAATTTCGTATTATGTACAATAATTTCATCGTTTATCGCAATGTTTTGATTCTCAACATAAATTTATTGATATTTACCTATACAAATATTGTAGAAATCCATTTTAACGAACGCTAACTAAACGTCTAAACAGCTCTCTTTCTATCAACACTGGCATAATTCAGGGATATTTTACTTTTAATGAACATTTACCATTATGTTTATTAGACGTAAATAACAGGTATATCCCTTCACAGGCAAGGCTATAAATCTCATTGGAACAGACAAGTGTTGTCACGGGTGACCGGTTATTCCCTTGCATAATATTGATAAAAAGCTTATTTCTATATTAATTGTTTTATGTATAAGAAATAAACCAACTTGCTTTTAAATTTATATTTATCTTTAATTATCATAATAGTATACCTTATATTATATATAAGTGACAAAAAAAAAAAAATAATAATAATAATACTTATTATTAATAGTACATAATAATTTTTTCTTATGGTAATTGACATTTTATTTTACATGTCGAACATAATATGTTAAGCCTATAATGGATCGATGTCTCAAAGAGTCAATCTTTCCAACCAGATGGAAGCACACCAGGCTAGTGCTTCTCCATAAGGGCCCTGGCAAGCTGGTGGACGATGCATCCAGCTTTCGACCCTTGTGCATGCTCGACACCAAGGGAGAGGATCATCCTTCAAAGGCTCAATGACCATCTCTATCCGGCGCGCGGAGCGCAACATCATCATGAACGCGTAGTCCAACAGGTGGAACCGCACGACCAAGACGGCTTTGACTCTCAGGGTACTCCCGGACCTGAGGAGATGGGTCTAGAAACGTCCCAAGGAACTCACAGGCCTTAACAGGTCACGGGTGTTTCAGGCACTACCTCTGCCGGATGGAACGAGCCCCAGACGCGAAGTGCCTATACTACCGACATCCGGAAGACACCGTCGAGCTCTTCGGATGCGTTTACTTGGAACAGTCTTTCTACCGTATGGTAGAGAACATACTGAGCCGCAAGAAGCCAGACGAGAGGATAAGGGAGGCTGACCAAGGGCTGACAGCAAGGGCTGACCAGCTGCCATAGAAGCAGTTGCCTCGTCAGTTCTGGACCACCGGCTCAAGGTCATGTACAGGCTAGGTTAAGTTAGCATAATGTCAAGAGGAGACGCGGTCCTTTACTTTATTTATTCAATATTCGCTTTTCTAAACTGGCAAATTTCATACTATTTTCCATAATTAATTGGCTTTAACAATATTGTATAAATCCATTTTAATGAACGCCAACTTAACCGTCTCGCTTTTTTTCAAAATTGGCATAATTCCGGGATATACAACGTTTAATGAACATATACCATTACATTTATTGGATGTATATATTACGTATATTTACTAAATAATAATCACGTATATTTTTCGTATAAAAATGGTCTAAAAACGTATATTATGTACATATATTATTGGTATACAACTGATATAAATACAAATAATTGATTAATAATGATTTAGTGAATTGAATTGGAAATTTTATATTAAAACAGAAATTTCATATTTATCATAACATTGCAAAAGGTTTTTTGCATTTACGAGTATACGTGTTATTTACGTCAAATAAACGTAAAGTAAATATTCATTAAACGTTGAATATCCCTGAATTATGCCGATGTTGATAGAAAAACAGGCGTTGAGATAGCGTTTATTAAAATGAATACATACAATATTGTTGTGGGCAAATATCAATTAATGTATGTTGAGAATCAATATTTTGTGATAAACGATGAAATTATTGTATAGAATACTAAATTATGAATCTAATAAAATAGTATTGACATCCAAACTACAGATAGAAATTGTTTAATTGCTTAAATATAATATTGTACCCTTTCGCAAAGTTATGGTTAATATGAAATTTCAGTTTTGAGAGGTCTGCAAAAAGTATATTAATTAAGGAGTAAAATTTAGGCAATTTCTATTCATGTCGATGGCTGCCGGAATCTTTGTGTTAGTAGTAGATGATTATTATTAGTGAGCTTCTATACGTGTACTGCCACATCGACTCCACCACCTTCCCCGTCAATCTAAACAGGTTTACTGTTTTTTTTTTTTTTGCACAAAGTAGATTAAAATTTACTGCCGCCTTTCCTGCCGTAGATCTGTCGACACGTGCCTCATGGTTATCGCGCAAATTTATTTATAGAGAGATTATAATATAATATTATTATAGTTATCCGCTCATCCCTCAAACGAGACGAGGACCTATGTATTGCTAAAATGGAAATTCAATTGATACATTTTTACGAAAATTATTTACTAACTGAAATAGTGCAATTCAAAATAATAACATTATAAAATGTACCAACAAATTTTAACAAAAATTATTTTACCTGTTTTCACTCATTATTATTTATTTATATTTTTAGTAGGTTCGACTATTTCGTTTTTTTTAAATTTGGAACGTACCTAGCACGGAACCTACTGGTTTTATGATGACGTGTGTACCTATATTTTTTTTATTTTCTGTGTCTGTGAAAAACCTTTCTACCAGAAAAACTTGCTCCGAAGTATAAATTATAGCACATTTTTGAAAGGTAATTTTCTTTCATTGGTGCATTGGGGAGGTCATTTTTGATTTTCAAAGGGGTTTTACGAACTAATTGAGAAAAACTCAAAGACCGAAAGAAAACTATAGGTAAAACAGAAAATATTTACGACGCGTCGCGGCGTTACCGTTTTCATTGTTTTTATTATGTTAACACGATGTTTTCTACCACAAAAATCGCTCTAATCTAAAAATAACCAGAGATCGATTTTTTTTCTTATAAAATTTCACCACTAACAGAGTAAAAGTCGGTTTTTGATATCAAAGTATTTCTCATAATAATTGGGAAAAACCAAAAAAGACAAAATATACGATTTTTTTTCAAATTATCTGCGGCACGATTTTATTATTTAAAATTTGTACGGCTTATATTTTCTACCATAAATATTGCTTCACTAAATATATGATAAGACAGCTTTTTTATTGCATTTTTAATCTTGTTTATAAGTACAATTTTAGGTTTATTTTTTTTTATTTAATCTATATTTTTATAAATAATTGAGTATAATCAAAAAAAAAAAAACGTAGATATAACGGAAAAATTTACGAAAATTTGAATTTTTAATGTAATTCAGTTTAAAATATTCGTAAAAACGTAAAATGTAAAATGATAGAAAACTTATATTTACCAGACATGATAAAACTTTCAAAAATGTTGAGCAATTTTCGAGCTATTTATAGATATTTTAATTTTGCTAATTTTTTAGGAAAATTTTCTTTGGCGAGTAATCTGTAGATAAATTGTTAGACTAAACAAAAATACTTGAACATTTTGATAGGAGGTTCATTGCAAGTCGTACTTGAAAATCAAAAAAAAAAATTAGTTTAATGTAGATAATTACTATTTCTTTTTTCTACTATAAGAGTTAAAATCAAATTTTGACGAAAATTGTAAATATTACGGTCTTTCAAAACATGTATAACCGAACTTCGCTCCACTCCTTACTCATGAAAAATTTAAAAAAAAAAAACCTATCACTTCTCATTTTTCTATTAAAGTAATATTTCTAGTTGAACATATTAAAATAATTAAACAAAGACGCTCCGTTTCCGTAAATATTAATCAATTTTTTTTGGTTTCTCCCAATAATTTTGAAAACTACATTGGATATCGAAAAACGACTTACTCCGTCAGTAATATTAATAGAAACAAAATCGATTTCTTGTTATTTTTCGATTAAAGTAATATATCTGGTAGAAAACTTTAGTATAACAAAAGGAAAACAGTAACACCACGACGCTCCGTAAATATTTGCCGTTTTTACCTATAATTATCTAAGTGACCCTGCTCCCCCCCCCCCCAATGCACTTATTAGAGAAAATTATCTTTTAGAAAAGTAGCTATGTCTATATGTCAGTGTGAGTTTGACGGTAGAAATGTTGTTCACAGACGGAAAAAAAAAATTAGAACCCTCGCTACGCTCCTAATCTAAAACAGTTCGCGTAATCATAATGCAGAAAAGTGGAAATCCGGAAATGAACGTTGTATTCTATTTGTCTTGTTACTTCAGTATAAGTATTAATAGATTGGTAGAACGGCACGATGCGCGGTAACAGTAAAGTACGTAACGCGGCGCGGGTTGCAGGACTATCTACGCGCGCGCACGCACAGGTCAATAGAACCAGCAAGACGGAAAAATTACAAGCGTGATTTTTTTTGTTGCTCAACGCCCAGTTTACGGGAAAAACTCTCACGCCTCGTAGATTTATCCGATTTCAATAATTTTTTTTTTTTTCGTGTTAGAAAGACGACGATTTTTCACAGGGCGCGTCGGACTTCGATTTTTGATTGCATTGCTAAACACAAAAATATTACACAATTTATAATCTTGTGAAAATTTGTAAAATTCAAACTCTTATTGTAGGATTTATTAATACAATTTTTAAAATTCAAGTCCAATGCAGCCCGTAAGGAGTCTTCCTCTTTCTAACAAAAAAATAAATTACCGAAATCTGATCACTGTATACGAGGCATGATAGTTTTACGTATAACGCATGTTTTTGAGCAAAATTAAGGTCGCTTGCAGGCCCGTCGGTCATTTTCTAAGGAGTAATAGTTAGGCAATTTATGTGGCAGGTATAATCGGGGCGTGTCAGTGTGAGAAGTAATTGAACATTAGTGTGAGTGCGGTTCAAAACGTGTACCACCACCCCATGGATAATGTGTTATCTATGCACCACCTACCACATCGCCATAGCACGTAATCAATGGTACTGGGTACCGTCGCGTATCGCATTGTTATCGCAGTTATTTTCGGGTTTATCTAAATTGATGAAAATAGGTTTGTTCCAGCCCATTGAACTGAAAGATACAAAACTATACCGATAACTGGAACGCTCAACGCCCATAAGACTAATGTAAATAAAACCGAGCGGGCGTGTTAGAAAGATATAGTGAATACTTTAGGTATTTCTATATCTGTCTTTACATATATTACACCGTATCGTATTCATTTTTCAATGCTTACCGACAGTCAATTTCAGCTCTTTTAAGAATTGTTTGTTTTAAAAATTATAGTAATTTCTTTCATCGTTTAATTATTTCGGTACAATTACAAAAACAGCGGTTAATTTCTGTCGTGCCTTTAATTGCACTAGTGCAAGGGACGTAAAACACGGAATTAATAATTCACAAATTAGTATACATGTTAATTGTGATGAATTATTTCGTAATTGTATTTATTGTACTATTTATTTACGTTAAAGGTACCTATATAAATATTTTTACTTTTTATTTGTATAGTCTAAGGTTTCCACTCAATGATAATGAAAGGCCAAAAAAATGGATACATGCTGTTAAACGAACAAATTTTAAACCTAGTAGTAATTCTTTTTAATGCACTCCACATTTTACTAACAGTGAATATGACAAAGCAGTTGTAGATATTTCAAACCATTGTATTCCTTTCTGTTTCTGTATATTACATTTTTAAAATTAATAAATAAGTAAATAATTAAATATATTTTAAGTTGTTTTTTATTTTTTTTTATTTTGTTTTAGATTCCGAGCGTAGCGAGAGTTTCTGAAAACTCAAGTTTTCTATATTGTAGAGAAATCATTTTTTTTTTTTTTTTTTTGATTTTAGTCTCCATTTTTAAATAAAAGTACTGAAATGAGAAAAAACGTAGGAAAACGTACCATTACACTATTTCATTATTTTATAAAAACACGGACGTTTTCTACTAGAAAAAAAGCGTGACAGAATTTTGTTTGTTAATATTGTTTAGTCTTGTATTGATTTTGAGTCAAATTTTATTTCCGAAGAGAATGTTACAATGGAAAAAAAATTGAGTAAAAAATGTAAAACAGTATCAGCTTTTAGAAAAAAAAAAAAACAAGGTGGAATCCGATCTGAATCCATTACATGCCAATGGCAAAAGACGAAGTTGAAAAAATATAATTTAAGTTTTACCAGCTGGTTTATTTGTAGATAGAGAATACAATTTTTTGGCTGGTTCACCTGATGGATTATGGTATTAGGAGATAATGATACAGTAGAAATTAAATGTCCCCATGGTATTAAAGACATGACGCCGAAAGGAGTATTGGCTAAAAAGATTCCTTTCGAGTGATCAAGACAGAAACATAAAATTAAAAAGAAACGAAAACTATTACTATCAAGTCCAAGGTCAACTGAGAGTAGCCAATAAACAATATTGTTATTTTTTAGTATGTACCCCAAAAGGTATATATAATTATTTATTTTGCAATTTATGTATAAATTATAAATATCTTATACAATAACTTATATCCAGTAAAGATACTGGAATATATCTATATAAAAATCGCTATTATTAAATTTTATTAAATAATAATAATTAGCTTTTCAGATAATTTTGTTGAAAAAATTGAACTAAGTTCCAGAAAAATAAAATGGAAACCCAAATTATTGATTTTTATAATAATTTCTTGTTAGAAGAAATAGTGGGCCTCAAGTGGGCTAACAACAGTTTATCTACTTACTACCATTTACTAATAACCATTAAATATGTTTACCTATTTTTTACCTATCATAACTACCTATTATTATAATTGCATATTATCAATGACATTTATTAAGTTTGTATTATTCGTAAACAAAATTTCAAGTTCCTTGACCCAGCGGTTTGGGGTGTGCGTTGATATGTCAGTAAGTTAGTTTTTCTTTTTCTATTATACAACATATTAGGTACCTACTTATTTTGCATTTATATAGTTTTAATCAATACATTTTATAATTCAAAATATATGTAAATATAAAATTAAAAATACAAAACAGAAGCGGTTTCGAGAAGAAAATGGGAATAAGTCACGAAATATTTACACGGTCGCAGTCAAAATAGTTGATAAAAACTAAAAATATGCGATCGAATTAACATTATTATAACAATAAAATTATGATTGTTATTATTATTGCCGCTACTAATAGCACTCAGTGAAGTAACCAGGTATTCTATTATTAAAATCCTTATCTAAATTTGGGTTTGAGCGACCGTCGTACGACGACAACGCGGTGCAGGGTTTTATAAACATGCGCACGCACAAGTAAATAAAGGAATATTTAGTAGACTGTTTCCACGGACGAAAACGACTTCGCGGGAATAGTGATAACTCGTTTTTAAGTAAGTATTTGAATAAACTTTTCTTTTTTTTATATTGATAAACAACAACATTGTAAAGGTCTCCGCATTGATCTCCAATTTTTTAATTACGATTTAAAATAATGGAAAAAAAATTTGCAAAAAGAAAACTTAAAATTGACTTTTTTTAAAGAGTCATCATAAATATTGAGAATAAAATATTTAATAACCGAGTTCTATGTGGCTTGTAGAATGTTTTCCTCTATTAATTAAAAAAAGAAATATAATTTGGTTGATTCTACTGAACAGTATCACTAATTCTGTCGAGTGCATTTCTGTGGGCAAAACGACATTGGCACAGGTCGCCTCAGGAAATTAATCCAAAAATATTGTAATCATTTCGGTTTTATACACTATTGTTAAATAAATAATAATTATAAAATTAGAATATATTTAATAAATTAAAATGTAGTGCGCAGTAAAAAACTGCAAAAGTGGTAGTAAATCTAGATTATCCAGCAGTAATAATAATAATATTCCATTTTATAGATTCCCAAGAGACCCTAAGTTTATTAAATTGTGGGTTAATGCATGTGGAAAAAATAAAAATAATGTAAGTGTTAAAAACGGTAAGTGGCTAGAAAAAAATTGTTTAATGCAGTTGTTGTACACCTATTTCTACCATAATTAGCTAGAGTTTTTTTCAATGTATTTTGAAGACGAAGCATTCATTCAAAAGTCATTAGTCGAAACAACATTTAATTACTCACCAAGACATAAAAGGAAACTAAGACAGAATGTGCTTCTTACTATTAATGTTTAGAGTGTTATAAATGAGCATGTAAAGGTATAATGAAAACTGAAACAAGAATAGAAGAAGTTCAGCAGGATTTTTGTGGTGGAGTAGATACTGATGTTTTTTTGTTTTCAAGATAGTGGGTAAGTATTCACTATTATTTTTTATCTATGGCTTAATAAAATTATAGGTATGTATAATTATATACATAAACTTGATATCGTTCAATAACTCAAATTAATTAAATACCTTCATATTAAATTAGTTTTATTATCATTTCAGTGTTGATATATTCAATACCTATTTACTAAATAGCTAATTTCAGCAACAATTTAGTGATGTTGAAGCTGTTTACTTACAAGACAGTAAATTGGTAAATTGATAAACAGGTAAATTGTTATAATCTAGGAATAATATATATCAGACTGGTTTAAAAACTATTTCGGTAGTAAAGAAAATTCTGAATCACTAGGAATATGTTTAACACATAAAGATTCTGATCTTAACAATCTTAGCAATTTATTATGTTTCTTTATATTTAATTATTTTAATTTAGAAATATTTTTGGTGTTGAAAATAATAAATTAACAAAAGCCTGGCCAAAAAATGTAAAGTATACTATACCTATTATTTATTTAATTATAGTGTAAAGCTTTTTTACTTAACCAATGGGCATTTATGTTTTGTTAAAGAAAAAAATTGTATTTATGTTGACAAAAATATACAGAGTAAAATATACATAATATAAATATATATATTTATATATACACTATACACGACCAGCAACGATATTGTTTACAGGAAATTATGATCATAATTACATTTCTTTAATTTGTAAATATTTGACATTATGCTTTTGAAATATTTTATTATTTAACATAAAATAAAATTATAATAAATAAAATATATTATAGACCTTTTATAGCTTAATCAATAATTGTATATGCTTTTTGTGTAATGATTTTAAATATTTAATTTGTAGCATGATTTATTTGTCATAATTATAACTATAAACCATGCAACAAATTAAATTATATAGGTTACAGCATTTGTTAGAAAACTAAAAAATTATAACTCAGAAATTAAAAAAAGAAGTTAAAAATTTGAAAAATATTATTTCTATACAAGAAAATAAATTATTTATTGCAGATGAGAACACCAGAGAATTTATTTGAAACAAAATTTAGAGAAAAGCTTTCAGAAATGTTTACTCCAACACAAATTGACCAAATTCTACATAAAACAAATAAAGTATATAAATGGTCAAATGAAGATATTGCTGCAGCTATATCTTTAAGAAGCATGTCTTCTATAGCCTATTGTTACTTATGAGAAAAAAGACCCTTTGCCAGGTAAATATAATAATTATTTTCTAAATTTAAAATTTATATTTTTATTGATAGTTGAGGTATTTCAACATTAAGAAGTGCTTATAAATTTTCTATTGAAAAAAAAATATTAACTGATATTTAAACACAGCAATGATAAACCTTTGCTTTCAAAAAAACGATTCTGAGTGCAGTTCAGTTGATAGTGATGCTTTGTCAATAATATATGTCATTGTATAGTAAAATAATTGAATAGGCTATACATAATAACTTCAATAATATTTAATTAATGTTTTCCTACATTTTTCCTTGTTTTTTCGGTTTTTCAAATTTGATGACAAAGCTTCTGAGAAAATAGAAAAATAAACTCTTTTAAGTACCACCCTATTGGAATTTCTTTTTAGAAACATTGATTTCACAAAAAGTTGGAGCAAATTTGCTGGTGGAAAATTTGTGGTAATATATAAAGGACATAAATATTTTTACTAATACCTACATTTCTTATATTTTTTTTTTTTTTTGGTTTTCTCAAATTGATGAGAAAACTCCCGAGAAGATCAAAAAATGTTCTCTATAAAGTACCTCTAAAATTTCCTTTTAGAAACTTTAATATCATTAAAAATTGGATCAAAATTGTTAGTTGTGCACAGGAAAAAAAATAGTAATATTTCGTGTATTTTCTCTTTTTTTTCGGTTTTCCAAATTTCATTAGAAAACTCGAGAAAATCGAAAAATTACAAGTTTAAAAGGCACTAGGATATTTTGCCAAAACAATGTCGCCGCGACCTTATCGCCGACGGACCGTTTCGTCGATGGGCCAATTCGCCGCCAATAGTTTCGATGCTGGTTTCGCCGATTACCTTTTCGCTGACGGACTTATTTGTTTAGCCCATTCGGACCTGGAATTAATTTTTTTCGTTTATCAATTTTTAATAACAGATAACTTCATAAGACAAAATCATTTATTTTTAAACTAAGCTTTTACCAAGTTATAAGTATGTCAGTGTAGAGGACATCAGACGTTTACCGAGTCAAAATAATATTAGTTTTGATTTTTGGGAAGAATTTATATATTCATACTTGTCTTGTTGATTACTCTGTTATCGTGGAGGGAAAAAATATCAGATATTTAAAACCACATTTTCAATTTTAAATTATACATTTATTGTCAAAAACAATCATAAATGTTATATCAATATTTTTCAAAAGTGTTTTATGGTATAAAACTCAAACTTAATAAGAGTTATGTTGTTAATTTTATGATTTTTATATACTACATAATCTATGGATGCACAATATGCCCTTTTTTAAGATAAAACTATTTTAAATGGTGATAAATAGCATTTAAAAGAAATGAACACATTTTTAAAAAAAGAGATGATAATGGGAACGGGTGTAGCCACCGTTGTATATGGGGGAAGTTGGGATTTTGGGAAAGCATGACACATAAAGTTATTTAGTTATTTAATTTAAATGTGTACGCAACGATAAACCACTGTTAACGAAAAACGATTCGCGGTGAAATTCGGTAAGACAAATTTTGAAATGCTGTCATTTGATCTTAAAACACCTATTGAAAAAATATAAAAGCATTCAACTGAAATTTCCTTTTTCGACCACTAAGTACAACTAAAATTATTATTGTGTTAAACTTTCAAGCATTATTGTTAAGTCAACCAAACCGTTTTATCGTTCGTTTTAATAAGTCTTTTAGTTGATAAAAAAAAAAAAGATCTTTGTAAAACCATAAGCTTCTTCACTTCGCTCAGAATCTAAAACCAAGGAAAAATGATCAAATATAAGGGATGTAGGTATTAGTTAAAATATAATACGGCCTTCTTTTTTTCTATGCACAACTCTTTTACCAGCAGTTTTACGCCAACCTATAATGATAACAATGTTTCTAAAAGAAATGTTCAATAGGAAGGTTGAGACTTCCCGGTTCGGTCGGCCTTGTTTGAGGACCGACCCGAGTGTCCAGCTGACTGCCCGCCTAGTGGGAAGGTCGCCAACCTAGGAGCGAGGTCCGAAGACCGGAGCCCTAGGATTTTGTGAGGAGGGCAAGAAAAGAAAAGAGGTAGTTTGAATCAGTAACCACGTGGTTTTCTTGGGGGGGGGGAAAGTATATAATTATTTATTAAATTTATCAATCAAAAGTAAAATTTAAGTTCATAGAACAGAAAAGCCCGGGGCATAAAAACTGTTAATCAGGAAAGAATGGATAATAGGTACGACTTATAACATTGATAGATGTATATATAGGCTTATAAACTAATATTTACAGACAATTTATATTTTAAACATATGTGTACATTGTTTGGGGCGTCAACCAGTCGTAAGTGTTGTCCGGACGTAGATAGTGGCGTCACGGGGAATGTGCAGGCCGGGACTTATGTATCGGTGAGGATAAATTCACATTCACATTCACGTGTGTGTGTGTGTTGATCGATATGGATATTGACAGAGACGGACCCCCACGTGGAACGTTCGTGGGCACCGTATGTATTGGGGAGACCCCGGCAGGACTGAGCGGTTGCCAGGTCGCACAGATTACCACCGGGAAGGGTAGCGGAAACGCTTTTTGTTCCATTTTGACTGGTCCGTAGTTTCGGTGGTCCGTTACGGGTGAACCTTCGGGGTACGTCCGGATATAGAAATCTCGAAATGGGGAAAATCGATCTACATATATATTCCTTTTTTTCATACACACAAACACGTGGTTGCGAAAACTAGCACTTAAAGGTAAGAGAAAAAATAACAAAGAAAACAAAATACGGGAGGGTATCGGCCTATCGCACTTAGGATGTGGAACGCGGGGATTAGCATAATGAGACGGACACACACATCTAGCTGATTGATTCCTATAAGTATATCAGAAAGATTTAACATAAAAATAAAACATTTATATAAACATATTCATATGGAGAAACTTTAAATAAATTACCTTAAAAACTAATTAACTAACTAACGGCGTATCGGCCAATTACTAAATCAAGTACATATTACCATCGTTCTCCCGAAGATGTCCGCCCAGCGGACCAGATCGGTACTCACTTCATTATTTCGTTCGAGACACCATCCATGATTCGTGCCAAGGTACACGACCTTTTCTTGGCGGCAAAAATTGGTGAATCCGTGTAATACACGGGAGTATTTTATTAAGAGAACTGTATCTAGAGACCGTCCGGTGACAGGTATCCCGAGACGGGGTCTAGACGCGAAGAAGGAGAAGAACGAACAGAATAAGAACAACTGGGTGGCGGAGCGCGGAGACGTTCGTGGCACGTCGCCGCGGGCCGACGTTTTCGGCGATATGGGGAAACGTGATATGATTGGCCGTTAACCCGTAGTCAGAAATATAATATTATTGCGAATTACAACAGATTGCGATCGCATAAACCTTTGTGCGGGGGGGGGGGAATTATTGTTCATGATGACATAACATATCTGTCAACGCGGGTATAATCTATTACCGGTCGACCATATCGATGTTAGGTATGCTTGTCCTTTGATAACGGGAAATGGTCGTTTTTGGACGTTACAAGGTTTTTTAGAGGAAATTTTTCTATTTTCTCATCTTAATATACGAAATTTATTACGATTTTTTTATGCCCTGTGCACAACTTTTCAATAGGCAATGTTGGTCATAATAAAACATGGGAAAACTGGGAAAATTGGTATAACATTAAACAAATATTATTCAAGAAAATAAATAAAGCCAATTTAATTTACTAATTATTTTACTATAAAATGGCATACATACTGTTGACAAAGGATCACTATCAACTTTGCTTACAGGTATACATTAAATTATCTAAAACAGTGGCTGCACCCATCCCCATTATCCTATAGCGTATTTTTGTTTATTCGTGGGTTTCCTTGATGGCATGTATGACAATTTGGTTGTCACAACTCACACACAAGAAAACTTTTATTATTATTATTGTATTATCTAGCAATAGCAAGGCGTTGCCGGGTTAACTAGTATTAAATACGATTATGAAATAATACATTCCTTGTTTCAATCAGAATTGTAAAACTTGGAAAATAAAAATAAGCCAACAAATTTTGTGAACAGAATTGGCCAACCAATCAAAGTTGATGAATTTATTTTTACTGTTTTCATATGTAACTTAACAAATTTAAACTACTTACAGACATTTCGGCGTTTCTAAAGCATCGAATATACAACTATTAGCGAGTCACATTAAATAGGAACACATTCAATAAAATTATAATCATTTCTTACCGTAAAAAATGGTCCTTATCTAAAATAAGTAATTTTTCACAAATAATTCTCTATCAAGTTCTTTAAATAACTGTTAGTTTACACCTACTTAATTTCGTATTGAAGTAATATTGATTTGAAGACAAATTGAAAAAAAAAAAGTAATTTATTTGGAATAGCATGAAGCTCTAAAATATTCTGAAAAGTCAATTGGATTCGGTTCATCATGTTTTATATAAACAAATTGAAACAGATTAAGAGTAGTGTAAAAATCTCGAGACAATAGATCATAATACCTATATCTTTTTTGTTCAAATTCGCACGTAACTTCCTAATTTATCCTCAATCGTAGAACTATTGTTTTTTTTTTTTTTTTTATGCTTTTAAAATTACAAATCATGAATGGCCAAACCGTGAACAATTGCAATTCGTTTCGGTCAAAGAAAAAAAAATACGTGGCCAGTACAAGCTTATAGCTTTCCTTATTTCAGATACGCTTAAAACTCTAGTGAAATTGTAAATACATCACTAAACCGTATAAATTGATAATATTATTATTCACACACTCTCTTCTGATTTTCAAAACTTCAATCAATTCATAAATAGACCAATAAAAATGTTTATAGTTGTAAATAGCTTATAATATTAAATTCTATTTTATTCAACGATTTAAATCTTTTTACTTTTTCTAGACTAAAAAATAAATAATCACAACTCAATTTTCATAGGTATTTTTACATGTTTATTTTTTAGCAAAATCAAATAAGTAGATACCTTATAAAAAAAAAATAATAATAATGATAATAGATTCATAAAAAAGCAAATAATATTATAAATCCAACACAAATACTTAATAATACAAAAAAATTAATAGTTAACAAAATTAGTCTTAAGTGTAAATCATATAAAATGTATAAAAAAAATAGGGCACTTACCATATTCCTAACCTGTTTACCGTTAAAAAAATCATAATAATATAGACGTATACAAAATAATAAAACAAATTTTTTACGTTGGTAGTTTGTAAATAATATAAATCAAGGAAAATGCCCATTATTAACACAATAATACAATAATAATCATTGTAAATAGTCAGATCGATTTAAATCAGTCAGATGAAGTACATATTTAAATATTATATAATATTTATAACATAAAATTACTGTCATGGAAAAATAATATTGTTTTTTATTTATATTTTATATACCAGGATAAAACTATAGATATATTAAATGAGGACCCGTAGTAGTTAACCAGTCGATATGTATTATTCAAATCCTAAAGTGTATTTCTGTGAGCATATTCATAAAAACATTCCTACCCTTATAATATTCTATTGTACAATGCTTTATCATTTGCTCGTCTAAAGTTGCAATTTGTTCAATAATTTTATTCTGACATATACAATGGTTGATAGTTTACTGACAAATAGTTTTGTCAATTATATAAAAATACAAATCTAATATATAACAATGCATACATATAAAAAAAAAAAAAAAAAAAAAAAAAAAAAAAAAAAAAAAAAAAAAAATATGTAAATGTGAAAATAAATACAACAATTATTTGGAAGACACCAGTTGTACATACAATTTTAGAAACAAGAATATTATTAAAAATCAGTAGCTAAAAGTTTTCATAATCACATATGTATAAGGCACTTTGGAAGCTCACAGTTGAGGTATACCCGTAAAAATAATAATAAAACATTGATACAAAAAGAAAAAAAAAACAATATTTTATCACATAGAGTTAAACAATTGATGAGCTTTGAAATTCGTAATTACATAATATTAATTGATCACTTAAGTACTAAAAACATAAAAAATAATAATGAATACTAAAAAACTTAAATCTAAATTACATTTAACAACTTTTATCATTTAATTTTATATATATTTTAGGAACAAGTGTAGCGGTCAATCCTTAAATACTGCATACCTACATAATAATAATATTACATAAAATAATACGCACACTGTCCTACAATTACATAAAAATAAAAAAAAGGATTCCTGAACATAAAATACACGTGAATAACATATTACTTACAAACAGTGATGAAAAAATATTTGGGTCATATTATGAGGATAATATTATTCATGTATAATTCCAATGTCTAGGGAACAATAATGAGTCAAAATATATGTAAATGTCTTCAAGACATTATTCACAATGAATAAAAATTAAAAATTGTAAAAATAATCAACTCGGATTAATATTGAGCCTTAAAACTATTTGTTCTAACGAGTTAGGAAAATAATTGGTCATTTTTCAAATTGGAAGCTAATACTGAACCCTGATCGATGAAGTTTCCATGAAATCACAACAATGAGCAAATATGAAAAATTGTTTAAAAATACTTATAATAAAAAAAAAATTAAAAGTAGAAAAAGTTAGAGAGCCTCAACTACTCAAACTTTGACATTGGATGTTGTGACGCATCTAGGAACTTACTCTAACGCAGTGTGATACTTGCGTATATGTACTCTAAGATTACCACTTTGTTTAGCGCGATATTCACAATGAGGACAACGATGAACTGGCTCTTTTCCTCCACATTCAAACACTTCATGACGTTTCAGTGTACTTTTCCATCGGTATCTTTTACCACAATGCTGGCAACTGAATGGATTAGCTTGAGTTGTACGCACATACTTGGAGTTTTGTTCAAAGTTTTTCCACCATAAAGAACCTAAAATAAATGTTAGTAAGTAAATATGAATTATCAAAAACAAAAGACTAAAGTCAATTGTGTTATAAATAACCTTGATCTTGCATGTTTGGTGATATATTCATACCTGCATATTCAGTAAGTTCCATACCTAAAAAACAAATAGATAATAGTTTTAAAATTAGAACATTGCTATTAATAGTTTACTTCTTTAAAATAAAAACGTCCGTGTTTACCTTATTACCAAATTATTGATTAAATTTAAGATTTAATAAAAAAGATCCATATTAAATATTCTGGTGCTTCTAAATTTAATAATGAAAAATACTAATTTACCTTCTTCAGGGCGAAAATTATTCATAATTATTTGAGATGATGTTAAATGAGATGCAGTTCTACTCGTCGTACAAACATCATTTTGGACATTATTATCACTCTCGCTGGCTTCTTCTTCAGTATCTGTTTTCTCAAGTTTTATTTCATTTATTGAACCACTAGAAGGCCAATACTTATTACTATCTTCTTTTTCATCAATTACTACACCATTCGCATCAGGTTTATCTTCATCGGGTTGAATATTTGCAGATTCCACTTCGGGTTTAGGAATTATTGGAGGAGATGGTATAGTTGCTTTACCTTCGCCAGCTAAACTAGGAGCCGTAGGATTTGGTGTATTATTAACATCTAAATTATTAGCATTAGTACGACTCGGATTAACTGGTGACACAACAAGACTATTGAAATTTTTCACTGGTTGTACTAATTTACGTCGTTTTGTATTTGGTATAGTAGATACAGAATGTGCTGGTGGTAATGGTGGGGGTGGAATATTATAAGATGGTTCGAAAGCACCATCAGTCATTTTGGGTGTATTTGACTTTTTTGGTAAGCCAGGTGAAATGTTTCTAGTAGAATTTTTACGAGCATCTAGTCTTCGATCTGATCGACCACTACTTTCTGTCAGTCCTTTAATCTGTAACGATTCGGCTGCTTTCAGAAATGACCCAAGTTGTTCTTGGGTAATATTCACTTCACCACGATACATATAGTCCATCATAGACCGCAGTTCCTGGTACGTTACATCTTTTAGTATGAGCACCGGATATTTATCAAAATGTTGATTTAACAGCATCTAAAAGTAAAAAGATAAAACTAATAAATATTAACATACCTTACACATTTTTATTTAAGATTATGAAAAATTGTTTTAACCATAGAAAACATGTTTGATATATGCATAATTAAATTTGGTGTAATCAAAAATTATATAAAGTCCATTGATATTTTTTATATTTACAGTGTACATATACAAAAATATATATATTTTTTTTTTTTGAAAATTGTATAAGATGCCACACCCACATCTACTGTCTTGGTCCAACTACCGAGCACTATGCAAAAAAAGGCAGACTAAGTACAACTAGCTTAATTTTGATTTTAGAGAAGAATATTTTGGAGGGGAACTCATTGGATTTTTGTATTATTCTAAATATACAGCTTGATATAAAAAGCACAAAATCTTCTTTCTTTATTTTTTTTTTAGTTTTTTAAACCACTAACTTTTTTAATTACTGGTTCATAATTTTAAAAAAAAAACATGAGATTTCCTTCAAATTATTGTTCTCTATAAATTTCATAACAGGTGTTTTTACTCTAAAATCAAAATTAGTTTTACTTGGTCTGCCTTTTATTGCATGTTGCTTCGATAGTTGGACTGGCTCTTAAATCACAGCAAACACTTGGTAAAAATAACAATGAAGCAATTTACCTTTTTGATATTTCAATTTTTTTTATTTTTGAAATAATGCTCCTAACTTGTTTACTTTTATCTACAGATTTATAAGATTATTCCTATATTTCTTTTTATATGTATTGTTTATTTCATTAGATGAATCTGTTATTTGAGACTTCCATTGACTATTAATTTAATTTTATGATTTCATAAGATATTTTATTATTTGAATATTATAATACTCTCGTTAAATTAAATACATTTGTAATTAAAATTAAATTATTATGTTTGTCAGACAAATAACACTGAATATAAAAAAAATGCATGATAGTGTGTACTGTTAAGTACATAATGTGGCATTTGGGAAAAATATACAAATATGGCTCACACTAATATTAATTTGAAATCAACAATCAACCTCCAAATAGTTGTGAATAATAAACTCGATAATAAACCACTCAATAATTAGCATACAATTTAACCAAATTTATATACTAAATAATTTTTTCAAAAATAAACCGATTTTCTAGTTAATATTATATTTTTACTCAAAGAAAAATGATTAACTTAAGTTATCATACAAGTAAAATATATATTTACATTAATAAAATATCTATCTAATGTTAATAAAAGAAAAACTTAGCAAATAATTTTAATTCAATAAACTTCCTTTTGTTTCTCAAAATAGCATATTAAACAAAAACTATGCTAAAAACTAATTATACTAACTATTTATTTCATTCAGTATTCTGATAAAAAATTATATTAAACTAATTACTTAAAAATTACAATTAAATACATAGATATAATTCCCAAGTAAGTTGTATGGCATTTATTTTTACTTAAGTTTAATTCAGTAGGTAGACTATTATTAAATAATAATTCACAGTTTGCTAGTGGTATCTAATAAAAGAGGTCAAGTTGACAAAGTGTATCAGACAGCTGTCTGAATAATGTCATACACACTCAATAGTCTACCGGAACAAGAAAAAAAAGTATGAGCTAATTTCTCCTCACACATACACACTAAACAATATATTATATCCTACACATTTATTACCTATTGTGTGACATATTATTCTCTATTTTTAACATATAAAAATTCCTTGTAAAAATACATTTTTATATGAAAAAGTTAAAATAAAATGGATTTGTTGAATGATAGTAGGTATTTTATAATCAACATGGCAGATAAAATATAATTTAGAGTAAATATAAAATAATTAAAATACTTATTCAATTGAACCAACAAAATATACAAGATCTTCCTCAGAATATTCTTATATAAAAAAAAATAAAAATCTAGGCCACTTTTTTATAATGTGCCTTCTATTATAATTGACAGTACACTCAAAGTTGGATGTACCAAATCAGTGAATGGAAAATAGAAAGGCAATAATAAGATGAGGCTAAACATTATTATATAATAGTTTCCAACTAGATTTTCACGGCTTCAATTTATTTTAAATCAGTCTATAGACTAAATAAATTCAAGGAATATTTTAATATAAATTAAGTCATGACTTGTCACAAAAATCAACATTTGACATATTTTCTAAAACAAATAGGTACACAAACTTGTTATACATTGTGTTTCTAATGTACTTAAATTATTTGGTTGGTTTTTCTATAGTTTAGCAAATAAAGTATTGATTTTTATTTATTTATTATTAGATATAAGACTACTTTTTATCATACACATTTTAGTATATTCAATTAACTAACTATAATATTTTATAATTACAAACTGAATAGGTATATTTGTTAAATATAAACATTTGTTTAATTAAAATATGATTAGGGAGGTATTTTAACTAAAATTCTAAAATAAAACTGTACAAAATAATTGAATTAATATGCATTACCTACATAATTACAACATATTAAAATTCTCTACAGAGGAAAATATAAGTTTTAACTGAGATAAAAACCTTAAATTCTAATTAAATAGATTAAAAACAATATTTAGGTACTTTTTAATTTAATATTTAAAATTGTTAAGACTTAAACTTAACTTCTGGAATGCCATTATCAATGTTTATACTAAATATATTATACTAACAAATACCTAAAAGTTTTTTTAAATCAAAAATAATTTTTATAAAATCATAAAAAGAATATTTGTCAATGTAGTTATAATGTAAAAAATGTTTATTTATAAGTATTTATTTAATAATAAAAAAACAATGAGATTTTTCCAGTAACAATTTTCTTATTAAACATCATTATTGTGATGTCTGATGACATATCAAGTAAAATTATATTATAAAATAAACTTAAGGTACAGTATCAAAACTAATAACAACTATGGCCTTAGCACTTGTGTATAATAATTGATCTAATAATCATTTTGACAAATGTTAATTTGTTATACAATGTCTGATCAATAATTATCATGAATCTCAATAAGCAAAAAAATTAAAACTTAACCAAAATGATCACTTGAGTACAAATGTACTTGTATGTAACTATACTTGTTTATTAATAATTTTTTTTTTTTTAATAATAATGATACTTTTACATAATTTGACAACAAAATAATTATTGAAAAATATACCTTATTAGGTACCTATACCATAGACTATTATTGTAATGTATATTGATCTGAGTACTATGAATTATTGATTCATTGGTATTTAAAATGTATATTGAATACAATTTAATTAGTGGATATTTTTATTTTATAGTACCTACTCAATATTTTTACTTCTTAATACTTTTTTCACACTTTACATTTCAACTATATTGTTATGATAGAAATGAATAGTGCAGAACTTATCTAAGAAATTGATGCTGTTATAATGTTATAATTAAGCTATTATGTATTTAACTAATTAAAGGAGTTATTATCAGAAATAATATGATAAACAATTTTATGTTAACCATTATCTAATATAATTATAGAAAATGTTTGTGTATTTTCTGTGGAAACTAGAATAAAATTTTATGTTTTTTTATGAAGACAAAATCTCCTCAAAGTAAAACATTAATTTAATTTATTTTCAAGTTGAAACTTTCATAACTTATATTACCTAAATATAAATTATTATTAAGGATGTAAAGATATGATAAAATGTTCCAGTTAGGGTAAAAGACAAATAATCGTATAAAACTGTTAATAATGATAATGTAAAAGTCTGAGTGTTGAAAATTGAATAAAAATTATGAAATAAAAATACAAATGCTAGAAACTAGAATATTCAAATAGATGTGTGGTGAGACTATGATTGGATAGAATTAGGAATGAATATATTAAAAAAAAAAAAAATCTAGTGTAGCTGATATAGCATGAAGTTTTATATGATATAGCCGTATGGACATGTTAAGAGAAATTACAGGGGAGGGAAGTGGTAGAGAAGATAGGGGAGTTAAGTAGAAGGTAAGAAAACAGGTAGGCCAAAGAAAAAGTAACCAGATACTAGAAATACTTAGGGAAGATATGAGAGCTTATGGTACTTCCATCTACTAATAAAATAATAATAATGATGATAACAAATTGTAGAGGTAGGGATAAAAGTAGCTACCCCCACACTTTTGAAAAAAAGGCATGTGAAATGAAGCAAGTTACAAATATTTTGAATTGAGACAACAGCCATAAATGAGTAGGTACTAAATAATATTCAAGCACAGATCTGACCTGAGAATAATATACTTAGAAATATTGTAAGTTGAATTTAATAATAATATTTTGATCATTAGTGAACATATTGAGTGATGACACAACAAACTAATATTTATAATTGTATTGTAATGTTTAAGTAAATGTATCAATTTAAAAAAAAATTATTTTCATAAAACAACATTTTTTTTTTAAACATTTTTGATTTTGCTTGTAGCCTATTTATTGATAATGTAATAGTCTAAACATATTTTATTTTCCATTTAAATGTTCACTAGAAAAAAATAAATATAAATATCATCAAAATTAATTCCAACTGAATATTTATTTAATCATATACCTAAGTATATGATCTAATTTTTATTTGAAATCAACAATTTTATTTAACAATAATCTATGACGTCATTTTATTTAATAAAAAATAATGAAACCAAACATTATATTCATTCCTTTGGTAAATCAGATTCATATAATTCATATAGTTAATAACTTTAAATATTAATATAGGTACCTAACTTATGTTAAATTTAAGTAATATGGATACTTAATATTTTAACAAGTAATTTACTATAACATTCAGCAGACTTTAAAGAATATTATAATTTGTAGTTAGGTATAAGTTATTTTAATATATAACAGTAATATAATACGCAGTTAGATATGTATGCATATCAATTAATGTGGATAAAATAAAGACTATACAAATCAGAATTTCACGCCCACATTGAAAAAAAATCAACAGTCAACAAATTTTAGAATGAATATGCATTATAGAAGTAAATTTATCTCTTTGTTATATAAGAAAGTAACTTTACAAATTCAATGTTTTATTTCTCTGGGTGAATAGAAAATAACAAGGAAATTAATATATGATAATATTATTTGTACAATAAGTTATACAAATTTAGTTTTCATAAATTAAATACATAAGATTAGATATACAATTCAAATACAGAAATTACCTATTTAAACATTTTATCTTATAAAGGCTTTCCTTTATCTGTTCTATTCAAGATTTTATTATTGTTGAAATAATATTATAATAATATACATTAATTAAATAGTATACGAGTATATAATTCATTGTTTTCATAATATATTTTTTATTATAGGCCACATATCTACTTCTACTTTAAGAAAATTAATTTTTAACTTTGATTTAAATAGTATTTGATTCGTGATTTAACCAAATAGATTAACAGTCATAGAAACAACAAAAACTGATACATGTAATAATTCACTAGGCATAACATTTCTATTAAAATGTATACAAAATATCACGTAAAATTTTAAAGCAATGTTTTACCTATTATATTTAAAAATGTTAAGTATCTATGATTATAGATTTCAAAGCAAAGTTGTTAATATAACTCAGATAGGTACCAAGTAAATAATAATTTTACAAGTACCTACATGGTTTTCATGTATTTGACCTTAGAAATAAAAACTTAGAACACAAGTTTTACTTCAATTTATTTCAATTAAACAACATTCAACTAATCTGATATCACATTTTATCTATACAGATCTCATTAGTCAAAATGTTGGACTAGAATATATTAGAACATATTTGTAATTATTTTTTTAAAGTTTCAATACATGTTGTCAAGTTAAAATTTTTTATAAAAATAAATGTAATTACTGGTTAATGATTGTGAATAAATTTTAGCCTAATCTGTGACAGTAAAAACTTGCCAACATTTCAAAAACCATGTATTAACAGTGGAAACTAGTGAAAATTAAATTTGGGGTGAAGTTCAAAAAAATAATATAAGATTTAGATTATTATAACTAAGGTGAAGATTATAATGCAAGTTGCATTTTTTTCTGAATTTCTTAAAGCATTTCTTGGCAAGCACAAAATTTGTTTCAAATATATCAAATAGTTCAAATATAAACATTTTTAGAGTATATTTTGACATTTTAAGTGCATTTTCAAGTTTTTCTTCTTTTTACAAACTTTGTAGTATTATTAGAAAATTGGTCAAAATGTATTTTGATATTATATATTTACCATATTGTACCAGATAAAATACAATGTCAGCTGTAATAAAAAACACTAACTATTTATTTAGTTGAAATGTTGTCATTTGCACTAATTCCACTGTTATGTTTAATAAAAATTTGTTTTCAGTTTAAAATAATTTTTAGAGCATTTTAAACCTTTTTTTTTTCATATTTGAGTACATAAAATTGGATTATTTTTAATGCATTTTTTTTGTTTCTTTGAATATTCAAATTCACGCCACAATTATAACCAATTATTTGTTTTAAACAACAAGTAGGTATTGACCAATATTAACTGAAAAAATGTTTAATTCTTATTAAAAAAAGATTTATAGGTACACACTTTAAATTGATACCTAGCTGCTACAAATTATTATTTTCACACAAATAATTATTAAGTATGAGGTATGATATGAATAATTACTCCCATAATAAGGTACCGTAATTAATGTAATAAATAATAATTATAAAGGTATCTACCTAATAATATTATTTATATGACAAAATTTAACTAAAAAAAAAATACAGTGGGAGGGGTAAAATATATTTAAAATTACAAGATTTATATACTTCAATCATATTCACTACATAATATAATATGCTTAACCAATAAATATTAAAGATAAAATAGAGATTATCTCGAAGATTTCATTGGGAACAACAGATTTGATTTTTATTAAACAATATTTCATCCGTTCATTACAAATTAAAACCAAATTTATCGAGAAATTTATGCAATATCCTCATCAAATATAAATTAACTTAATACTTACCCATTAAATGAAACTGATTTTGATGGGTAGATATGTATTACAAAAATTAACTTAACATGATCAACATAACCTACCTACCTAGTGATATTTTGAAAACAAGTTTGACATGTGCCTTAACCAGACTTTATTATATAACTATCTATATCTTAATTCAGAAGATTTGGGCTTTCTATATCAAGTACCATCGCATAAATAAATCAATAGATTTCTAAAATATATTCAAACATGAAAAAAAAAATATATATCCATATGTTATTCAAACAATACAAAAACATTTTAATATTTATTTTATACCCATACTACCTAGTACATTTTAAATCAAAAATATACATAAATAATTTTATTCCCCAATGTATAATTCAGATGAGAACCTTACATCATATTATAATAACATTTAATTTAATAATAATAATAATAATTTTAACTAGATATATTACAGGGTGACCTAATTTATAGACACTCAAATTAAAACTAAACTAAATAAGTATACAGTTAAAGAAATTGTAGTAAGTACCATATTATAGTAAAATAATGTGCTACATTTAATTTTAACCTAGATAACCTTTTGAAGACAATATTCAATTGAAAATATTTCACTTTTAATATTAATTAATAACTATTCAATGATATATGATGAGTATACCATGCTTTTATATATTTTCTCACAAACTCACATGAAAAAACTATTGAAATATCAGACTCTATGTTATATGCATACATATAAATATACATAGAATCAATTTTATATGTAATCTAATTAAATAATTAAGGTAATAATGTTTATAGCCCATAGTAAGTATCTTTGATTTAAATAATAAAGACAGTTAAACAGATAAACATAAGTGACCCAAGTATACATTTAATATTTATGCACAAATTTATACCCAACATAGTAGTAAATACAAATCAATATCAAACAGTCAATAGGTTATCAGAATGATTGAATGAAAAACAGCGTTAACTGAGAACCAAACAAGATCACTAAATTAGACGATAAGAAAAATATGAATCGCTCTTCATCTTCATCCGGTGATAAAACGTAAATATACTATTTTTCATAGTGTTCATCACACCATTGATAAATATTTAGGTTAGTGTGATTGAAAACATCAAAGTTACAAGATTGATAATATTTGGTAATCATGTGAATCTAGTACCTATCATAAGATTATAGTGAAGCCTTTGTCACGAATTCAACGATTATTACATACCTATACTTAACACTAAAGAGCATCAACCAAAGCACGTTGTCGAAAATCATCCTACTATATTAATTTAAAAATACGAAAAGTTCGCACACAAAAATCACACACGATAACAAAGGAGTTTGGAATTCAAGAGGGAAAACATATCGGGACATGCGCTGTACGTTTTTGTTATATTCAACAGGTGTCTCGAGTGGCTAAATAAACGAATATTTACGGCGGCAAACGAACATATGGAACTTCGCAAAACAAGATAACGTGGTCGCCGGAAAACTTACACTCGTGGTGACGGGACTCGTACACATCGGCACGCGGTGAATATTATACTGGCGGTATACAAGGAGAAAATGTTATCTTTAATTTTAATAAAATATTGTGGTGCCTTACCGCGAAATAAGGGCTGCAGGCGGACAACACGACTTTGTGCGCGTTCATGCATTGTCCCTCGGCGGCCAGGGCGCAATCCACCAGAGAACCGCTCTCCAGGAGGCTGTCGAACACCGAAATCAACGTGTTCTGATGGTTGTTCCACCGCAAGCAGAACTGTTGTTGCTGCTGCTGCTGGTGATCCATGGTGATCTCGTGTTATTATGGCCGATCCGAAAACCGACAGACTTACAAACTAAATACAACAATACCGCCGCCAGTACTAAATAAACTGATGTACTACTACTAGTGCTACTATACTGCTGAGTAGTGTAGGCCACACTGGTGCCGCTGATGCGGTTCACTTTTTCACTCACAAAACGCGGCGACGAGAAGACGACCTGTTGTGCGCGTTCGCGTGTGCACACCGTACACATACACACACACACACACACACGCTCACTCACACACACACGCACGCACGCGCTCGAGCCGAACGGCAATACACGCAGAAAACACGCGCGCCCGCACACGGACCAGATCACGTAAAAAAAAAAAAACAACAAAAATATACGACGTCCGGAAATTGTACGCGAAAAATAAAAAAAAAAATTTGAACGATATAATATTTGATATAGGTAGGTACGTACGTACGTTTGGAAATAATAACAATTAACAACACTCCAATAATAATATCATAATAATAATGTGTAATAATTAATACAATAATAATAATAATAATAATAATAATAATAATGTTACAATTTAATATAACATCATAGTAATTGTGTATGATGATGATAATAATACGGTCGTTAGTTTCGAGCCGGAGTATGTTTGAAAACACTAGACTACTACTAAAATCGTAGTAGCGACGACAAACGCATCAGCTATACGACAGTCGTGCAATCCCGTACTCCCGTTTTCAACGGTGGCGGCGGCGAAAGCAGCGCTGTGGGACAAAGAGAAATTTTCACACTGAAACGCGGCGTAACGAAATTCAAACATACCATCGCATCGCCACTCCGGTGTGGTGTTCGGTCGTCGCGCTTTACCAAAATATTGTCGGTGCGTGTGCGCGCCGCGCTGCGCGGACCGGGTGGACGACGCGGAGGGCGGGGCGATTCGTGGAATGGCGGCGCGGGGTTGGTGGGGCGGGAGGCGACGGGACGAGAGAGAAACACACGAAAAATAAAAGAGAAAAAAAAACAAAACTGAGACGATAACGAATTATAGACAATAAAGTTTTTTTTTCGGCAGTGCCAACTTTGAAAGTTTGCACGGTAATTTCGGACGGCCGAACGTGACGCGGCAGCGGCGGGCGGTACGTACACCACGGTTTCCCACCCCGGTCGTCGTAAAGAAGTAAAACAACTTTTTTTTTTTATACAATATTATCCCAAATTACATGTTACGATATCCATTATACATACATACATATGCGTTGTTGACTAATATATACATATATATATATTATAAATAAACATATATATTCGGGAAATATAATATACGCATTATATACCTACGTATATAATATTATGCGGTGTGTATACGTTATAAACTACAAACGCGGACTGTATAATCGTATAAATGTTTAAAGTTACGATAATAATAATATATTACATTTTGTAATATTATTATTATGTACACAAAAGCAGACGCACAATATAATAATTATATTTTACTATCAGCGTGTATTATAGTGTATACAACTGTAATGCGCGAGCGAGCCACAAGTATTAGAGTGGGAGGGCGGGCGCGGGGCGCTCGTAAATGAGTTTTTATTAATGAACGATCGTGACGGCGGCGGCCCGCGTTAATTAGTGCGCGACAAGCCGTAGTCGGTAGTGGGGGGGGGACGGAGGCGACGATGGGATCGTACGCGTTTATACAATAACAATAATAGTATCGGAATTATTTCTCTTATCCGGTCGACGTCGTCCCGCACCTCGGCTCCGTCGCCGGCGCCCCGCGAGGAAACTCAGGAAACGGGCCGTGCCGAGCAGTGCGTGCGTTCGCTGCGGCCCCGAGGGAACGGCGGCGTTCGGCAAACCGGTCACACTGCGCGAAACGTTTGGAAAGTTTTCGGCGGTAGTTTGTTTACGCCGCCGCCGTTGATCGTAGTTGTGCGGGCAAAAAAAAAAAAAAACCTAATCGACCCAAAGGACAAGAAAAAAATAAAATAAAAAATAATAATAAATTTTCGACGGCCGCCGTGTCTTCGCCGCGCGACTGGCGGTCCCGGTGGTGGGAGAGAATTCTATTTCACGGAATTACATTGTGATGATCCGTATCGGGTCCGTCCTCCGTTCTTTTATACGTTTTTATTATTATTTCGCTGAAACGCGCGCACAACACAACAATACGCTTGAAAAACGGTTATTATTATTATTATTATTATTATTATTATTATATATATTATGTTTCGTCGTCGTACGGACACACGCATTTATTGGAAAGCCGTACGGACTCGTATATTATTATACACATACATATCATACACAATATCGAATATAATATATTATATACGTGTATATGCGTGTAGTATAGATATTGATGTGTTATGTTAAATGGATAAATTATACAGAGTGAGCCAGAGTTTTTCAGTTCTCCGGCCACACGGGAAAACGGGAAAACGCCAATGTCCGTCCTGTACACGTGAAAATGTTTATACGTACATAATGTATAAACATATAATCATATATAACACGAAATGGGTAATAGTAGTTCTCTTTTGAAAATTGACTATAACACGCGCATTGTTGGCGTGTCGCGTTCGTTACTGTACAATATTATTATTGTATCTGTATACGTATGTATAATAATGTGTAGCAGAAAAAACGCGTAACGCGAGACCGGACTTTGCTGGTCGACGACGTGTTTTTCCGCCGAGAAAAGTCGTACGACGGAATAATATAATCACACAATACAATGCCACGATAATATACGGTGTGGATCGAAAGCGAGACAGAGTGCGAGGGAGCGATAGAGTGAATGTGTGTGTGAGAGAGAGAGAGTGAGAGGGGGGGGGGCGTGAAAGATCGGTGCCATTTTCGGTTGCGATCGGTTTACGTCATTTTTATTCGGTTTTTCTGCGGCCGCCACACGCATACCACGAATTCCGAGAAATGGGATACCGCGGCGACGACGCGATGCGTTCGCCTCGCCCCGGGACCCGAATCGCGTACAACACACGTGTTGCTGGTGGTGGAGAACGCATTTCGGCGTGTCGAGAGGAATACGTGCGCGCACGCGGTATCCCCTCGCGCGCCAAATCCCGCGGCCGAACAATACGGACGTGTCCGTATTTTTTTCGACCGCCCGGGCGGTACCGGCGTGTAAAATATATTGGGTATCCGACCCAAGGAAAACGGACGACCCGTCCGCAGACGTCGGTCGCTGCACAATACGATACAATAAAAATAATAATGTATAATAGCGCGGAGGAGAGATACCCCTCGGAGATACGGTGCGGCGAGCACATGTCGAGAGGCAGGCGCCACGGGGGCGGGGATGGGTCGGTTTGACCGTATATATAAATATATTGTATACGAATCCGTACACGGCTCGATGGAAAACCGTGATGAAAAAATAAAAAGAAAAAAAAATAAGAAAATAATAATCGTAATAATGATTTTCCCGGTCCAACACGGAGGAAGGAACGCGCGGTTTTCCGCTCGTAGGTACGGCGGCCGCGAGATTTTCCCGTAGAAACGACCGACCGCGCAAATTTCCCGTCGGCCGCTCGCCGTCTCGGATCGTTTACGAAACCTGCCGGCCGACGACGATCCGCGATTAGTCCGTACTGTCGTATCGGTACAAAATATCCAACCATTAGAGTTCGGATGTATTATGGCTAAACAAAACATTTTTAAAAATAAATCGTTCAACATAATGTAATAAAACAGCGAAAGTCCTTATTAAATGCACCGAAAATCGTAAAAAAAATAAAAAAAGTGCTCAGTTATTAAAATATAATATGAATAAAACGAAAAATCTCCGAAAATGCATTTTAAAAGTAAAAAAGAGCCAAAATAGCATTTAAAAAAAAAAAGAGCTGATACGGGGGACGGCTAACGTAAAACGCTCACGAAGACATGTATGGAAATGCAGTAAATTTTAAGATATTCGTCAAAATTTGATCTTTAACGCTATTGAAAAAAAAAACGAATGCATAAACTCAAATTTGTTTTTATTGTTATCACTGAATTCAATTTATAATATACCTTGAGTAGTTATGTTAAGTTTTCAAGCATTTCTCTAAGTCATATAATTTTAATAACAGATACCTACCAAATAAAAACAAGAAAATATCAAATACCTAGTTTTAGATTAAAAATAGCTAGAATGTTTTAACGACTTTAACACGTCTATAAAAGGCCAATTAATGTAACTTGTGAAAACTATTGGTCTGTACATTAATTTTTAACCAAATAACAACAAAGAACCCAATTCCGTATTTTTTACGTTTTTCCTTGGTTTTCCGTAATTGTTAGGAAAATTACACGGAAAACCAAACAACGACTTCCTTTCTCACAAACTCGTCAAAACATTCTTTCAGAAAATATGCTATTCTTGAAATTCGGACAAAGATTTCTAGTAGAAAATCATAATCTTAAACATTTTAAATAGGTAGTGAAATCATTGGGCCATAATTTGAAAAAAATTAAATTTTTCGTATTTTTTTGATTTTTCCAAATTATTATGAAAACTACTTTAGAAATCAAAAAATAACTTTCTCAGTCAATAACAAGTTATTAAATGGAACAAAATCGATATCTTATAAGGTTTTGATTGAAGCGATATTTATGGTAAAAAACATGGTTTTAAATCCAAAAAAGGGAGGAATATTCAAACTCTAGTTATGATATTTATTATATTTTATCATTACTTAATTTTCCTTTTATTATACTTATCTAATCTAACTTTTTGACGGTAGTTGGATATTCCCCCTCCCAAGATATTTTGATGACGGTAAAAGTGACAATAGTCTATAACGATAATAATAACAAAAGACGGACATACTTCGCACGAATCCCGGAAAAAAAATCTCCAAAGAAACTATACTGTCAAAATTATACGTATAAAAAAAAAATTGAATATACTTTAATCATCGATGGTTTGAGTGTATATTGTGCACACAGCTATCAAAAATAATTATAATAAAAAATAATTTAAAAAATGTATAACATAGTATTCATTCACTAGTTTCCTTGCAAATATTATTGGATACAACAGTCAAAAAATAACAAAAAAAAATGTAAAAAATTATATTATTAAATCAGTCAGTTCGCTTGAGTACAGTATCGGATACTGCTGTAAAAAAAAAAAAATATTTATAATTGTATTTCCACAATAATTTATCACTCTAAAAAATAATTAATACATATTATTATATGTAGCTTATGGCATTGAGATATTTGGCAACTAAAACTATAGTTAAGCGGGGTTCCTTGAAACGAGTAGAAAACACAGTTTTATTTAACAAATTATTTTTCTGGTATTATTGTTGTTTGGTTTGTAATCTATAGACTAAAAAACCTTATGGATGATAATGATCAGACGATAATTTATTCATATACATAAAATTGAAGTATGTCTGTAAACTATTTTAAATATAATTATTATTGACAATATAGTTGATTTTGGAGATTTATTTCCGGGAATTTTTTTTCGGATTATCACTTCACACGTAATTGGGCGATTGTTGTAGATGAGAAATTGGAAAGGTAGAGGGGAAATTTAATGTATATCAGTACGCAAAGATTAACCAATGCTAACGAAAAACTATTCTGAGCGGAGTTCGGTAATTAGTGTTGCTTTGGCAATAATATATATATATCGCATTACAATAAAATAATTACATACACGTTATATATTTTCTTTAATAATATTTGTTTAATATTGTATCTATTTTCCCGTTTTTCCTATGTCTTTTCTCGGTTTTCCCATTTAATAGGGAAACTCTTGGGAAAATAAAAAAATGACCTCCCTAAAGTACTAGCCCAGTCAGATTCCCTTTCAAAAAAAGTATCATTGTAAAT